GAACAGGTGAAAAACAAACTCGTCAACCGAGCCCAGGTAAACTTCTTGCATTCACGAGTCGTCCTCCGAGTCACCGTGGTGCCCGCGCGCGCCATCCAGCAGCCGCCCGGTGACCCTCACCACCGCGTCAACGCGTAGCAGCCTCTGCAGACACTGGAGCACGGCGCCCACGAGCTGCAACTTGGCCGCCACCGGCTCCACACCGCCCCCGATGCTGAGCAGACGCCCGTCCAGCTCTCCCCGTGTCCTCAGGCCGGCGCTCACCGCGCTCAGCAGCGTCACGAACCGGCGGTCGGGGCGGAGATTGCGGTGAAGCCGCCGCGGGATCTCGAGCAGCGCCTCGGCCAGCACGGCGCACGCCTGCCGCAGGGGCGGCGTCGGAACCGGTTCATGTTTCCCGTCGGCCACCTCGCACAGGAAATGGTGGAGGAGGAACTCGAAACGTCCCTCCGGCCGGGAGGACGGCCCCGGCCGGCACCACGACCGAACCGTCGGAGCAGTCGGCAGAACGGCCCACATCCGTAGCCCACATCCGTAGCGTCTTCAGAGCACCGCTCACAGCCGCCACGTACTGGGACGCGACGCCCTGGACCGGTGAGCAAACCACGAGGGAGCTCAGCGCTCGCCGCACTCCCGCGTGCACGCAGGCACGGCCGCCCCCCAACTCCAGCCTGCGGCAAAACGTCAGCGAGCCCGCGAGCCGGGCGACAGTGTCGCCGCATGCAGTCGGCGGGGCCTCGCAAGCCGCGACGTCGCACAGGAAAGCCAGCTCCTCCGCGGGAACGCACTCCACCACCGCCAGGCCGCCGCGCCGCGCGTAGTGCAGGAGGACAGTCGCTCTGCTTCACGGCAGGAGAACAAAACTCCGACGCCATCCCTCGCCAGCGTCTCCATGAACCTCTCCACGTACCTGTCGGCCCACAGCTGTGCTTGCTGAAATTCAGAGCCCGTCCCGTATTGCCAGGTGACGCCCAGGCTCTCCGAAGACAGCGGCCGCACCCGCCCCGTCACGGCGACGAAGCGGACGTCGCCGTCGACGTCCTCGCCGGAGGGGCGCACCGTGAAATCCCGGCGCAGCAGCACGCCGTCCAGGCAGCAGCTGCGGCTAACGGGCGCGCCGCTCACCTCTGTGCACATCTCTGGAAAGTTGCCGAGGATGAAGCTCACGCGCTCCCCGAAGCGCGGGACGTCGGTGCCGCGCGGGACGTCGATGCCGTGCGGGAAGACGAGGCCGAGCACCGCCGGCACGAGGGCCTCCGCCGCAGCAGCGCCCAGGTTGCAGGACAAGGAGGTCCTCACGATGCCCTCCGTGGAATCCCTGAGGTCTCGCTCCAACTCCAGGTTCGCTAGGGTCATGTGCCGCCTCATTCTTTCTCCCACGATCCCATCCAGCACGTCGGTTTGCAGCGCGGGCACCTGGCCGGCGAAGGCCCGGCAAGAGGAGGTTTCCCTGCGCTCGTGAGCGGCGGGACCAGTGGGGGGGTGGCTGCCGCAGCATGCTGTCACCGCCGCTCCCGGGCCGAGGCCGGCGCTGCGCAGCAGCGACGCCAGCAGCAGAACGAAGGACTTGGCACCGTCGCCCGTGACGGCGCAGTGTGCCAACACGCATTCCACCACCATGCTGCGTCGAACCACCGGGGCACAAAAAATGCACGGTGTCTGGATTATGAATGCACCACAGGATAATAATGAGTAAATTTGGTATTCGTGTCATTCTTATAGCACAAGGCAATCATCACAGTCTGCAGTAGCTTTACAGTCGGGGGCGATGTTGCTGCTGTGTGTGATCCCGATCGAGTAAATTACAGGACATTTTTTTGCATCTGGATGTTTAGCAAATACCATATACATTGCCCGTGGGTTATTTAACCACGGGAGGATATTGACGGAACCCGGAGGAAACCCAGAAGAGAGGGAGAATGCCCAACTTCTCACAGAAAGCCGCACATGTCGGGATTCACACCGAGGGCCCATCTTGCTACGGGACCCGAATGTTACCACCGCGCCGCTGTTCTGGCCGAGCAGCGAGGGTCACGTTACCGGGCCACGGGGTGCTCTAGCCGGAGCGCTGCGAGCGCGCGACTCCCGTCTGCCATCAGGAGCACGTCGCCGGTGTCACGGGCAAACAGGAGGCTCCCGCATGCGGGGCCCAGGCAGCGTCCCACGGTGTCCGCCAGGGCACCCGCGACAGCCAGCGCAGCGCCGGCGCCGAGCGGCCCGCTCACGGACCCGTTGGCCGCCCCGGCCGCGCGGCAGAGGCGGCGCCGAGAGCGGCGGCGGCAGTCCGGCAATGTCAGCGGCACTGCCGGCGATTCCATGGATCGACGGTGGCGCGGACCCGCGAGAGCGGCGGAAGGGAGCGGCGGTGACGGCGAGGGTGAAGGAGAGGGAATGCGCCGAGGTCGTTCCGCTGCGGAGACGGAGCGCGGCGATCATCGGGGTCCTGGGCACAGAAGTGATTCTGAGGATTGCTATGACATTCTCAGCACACATACACACACTCGGCATTCATCATATTTTCAAATTCACGTCTTAAAACGTATCTATACACGTAGGTGTATTCAACTTCTAGTTAATTCAGCAATTGGTGTTTAGTGTTTATTTTATTGTGTTGCCGTGTTTAGTTTCAGGAGTTGCCATCAAAGTGTCTGTTGTTGCTGCTGTGTCTTGCACAGCGCTTTGAGATCCCTGATGAAAGGGTCGTGTTGGGACACATTAGGGCGACGTGAGGACATCGTGGGGGGGGGGGGGGAGAGAAGTGGGGGGCAGAGAGTATGTAAAGGGGTGTGTGATGTATGCCCTAGCACAGGGGTCAACAACTTGCGGCTCCGGAGATGAATGTGCCTCTTTACGGACTGCTTCGTGGCGTAATGCATGCGTGTACGTGTGTATTCACGTCATTGCGGCTCTATAAATATAGAGTTTTTGCACCGAATTCGAAAGAATGGCTCTTCTTACACCATTGGAACCTCATTTGCCAGTAAAAAATATTATAATTGTTTTTTTTTACCCTTTTATCTGGCGACAAAACTGACACCTTTTGGCGTCATCTGGTCCAACACCATGTGAGACTAGGCTCTAAGGAAAGCTGTCTCGGGTGTGGACCAATCAACTTCAAGGACAGTGTATACATTATCAGAATTATGTTTTTTGTTTGCATTATGACTGCAGGTATTGTGGTCTATGCAAACATGACTCCTCGTAAAAAAGGTGTCAGTTTTGTTGCCAGATAAAAGGGTAAAAAAAAATTATCATATTTTGTTACTGGCAAATGAGGTTCCAATGGTGTAAATGCTTACCCCGAGCTCTCATACTCTGATGGTGCATTGTCTTTGAGTTGTGCGCCTTTAGCCGTCATCTGGTCCAACACCATGTGAGACTAGGCTCTAAGGAAAGCTGTCTCGGGTGTGGACCAATCAATTTCAAGGACAGTGCATACACTATCAACACCATGTGAGACTAGGCTATAAGGAAATCTGTCTCCGGTGTGGCCCAATCAACTTCAAGGACAGTGCATACATTATCAGAATTATGTTTTTTGTTTGCATTATGACTGCAGGTATTGTGGTCTATGCAAACATGATTCCTCGTAAAAAAGTTGTCAGTTTTGTTGCCAGATAAAAGGGTAAAAAAACAATTATCAATGGCTCTTCTTGTTATATTGGTTGCCGACCCCTGCCCTAGCACATGATGAGAAGGCTTCCTACGAGTGTGCATGTTGTGTCGTGCCAAGAACTTCAATGAAGTCCGTACGCAAAGGTCACACACTGATACAGAGACTGACTCACACATAGACACACTGACTCATAGACTGACTCACACATAGACACACACAAGCATACTGACGCATAGACTAACTCACACATAGACACACATAGACACACTGACTCATATACTGACTCACACATAGACACACTGACTCACACATAGACACACATAGACACACTGACTCATATACTGACTGACTCACACATAGACACACATAGACACACTGATACAGAGACCAACTGACTCACACATAGACACACTGATTCATAGACTGACTCACACAAAGACACACATAAACACACTGACTCATAGACTAACTGACTCACACATAGACTAATAGACTCATACAAAGACACACTGACTCATAGACTGACTCACATATAGACACACTGACTCATTGGCTGACTCACACATAGAGACACTGACTCACACATAGACACACTGACTCATAGACTCACACATAGAGACACTGACTCACACATAGACACACTGACTCATAGACTGACTCACACATAGACACACTGACTCACACATAGACACACTGACTCACACATAGACACACATAGACACACTGACTCACACATAGACACACTGACTCACACATAGACACACATAGACACACTGATTCACACATAGACACACTGACTCACACATAGACACACATAGACACACTGACTCATATACTGACTGACTCACACATAGACACACTGATTCATAGACTAACTGACTCACACATAGACACACATAAACACACTGACTCATAGACTAACTGACTCACACATAGACTAATAGACTCATACAAAGACACACTGACTCATAGACTGACTCACATATAGACACACTGACTCATTGGCTGACTCACACATAGAGACACTGACTCACACATAGACACACATAGACACACTGACTCACACATAGACACACTGACTCACACATAGACACACATAGACACACTGACGCACACATAGGCTGACTCACACATAGACACACTGACTCACACATAGACACACTGACTCACACATAGACTGACTCACACATAGACACACTGACTCACACATAGACACACATAGACACACTGACTCATTGGCTGACTCACACATAGACACACTGACTCATTGGCTGACTCACACATAGACACACTGACTCATAGACTCGCATACAAAGTCCCATCACGCCGTATGGACCCTGTATGGAATGGGGTTGACACGGGCATGACGACGCGACCAGGGCACACGCGTTCAAGGCTGAGTCGACCTAAGGGGAGGTCGGTCCCAGCAGCACGGGGATTTGGGGCTCTCACCGCCGCCGATGATCGCCACGAGTCGTCCAGGACGCAACCACCACCACACAACCACCACTCCACCACCTTCCCACCACCACCACCACTCCACCACCCCCTGTAGCCCCGCGTCGTCGCTATGGGAACGGGGAGGGGCATGCGGGGGGGGGGGCGGCTCCCTGGGGGGGAGTGGAGCTGTAGCCAATAGCGAGGGCGCGCTGCGCTTCACCGCGGTCCCTAGGACCGCCCCCCCCCCCACGCGTCACCGGCGGCGACGTCGAGGGACCGCGGCTATCATCATCTGCCCATGCGGTGTGTTGTTGCAGGATGTGTTGACGCAGGGTGTGTGCGTGTTGTCAGGGTGTGTGTGTGTGTGTGTTGTCAGGGTTTGTGTGTGTGTGTTGTCAGGGTGTGCGTGATGGGTGTGAGTGTGGGGCGCGAGTTGATACAGTGGGCAATGCATCTGTCAGTCATCCCAGCCAGTCGACCCCTAACACCGGGTCTGCCCCGTGACCTCACGTGGTGTGTGTGTGTGATAGGGTGTGTGTGTGGCAGGGTGTGTGATAGGGTGTGTGTGATAGGGTGTGTGTGATAGGGTGTGTCTGTGATAGGGTGTGTGTGTGTGTGGCAGGGTGTGTGATAGGGTGTGTGTGTGATAGGGTGTGTGTGTGTGATAGGGAGTGTGTGTGTGGCAGGGTGTGTGTGTTTGTGATAGTGTGTGTGTGTGTGATAGGGTGTGTGTGTGGCAGGGTGTGTGTGATAGTGTGTGTGTGTGTGATAGGGTGTGTGTGTGGCAGGGTGTGTGATAGGGTGTGTGTGTGGCTGGGTGTGTGTGTGGCAGGTTGTGTGTGTGTGGTGTCATGGCGTTGTGTGTCATCGGTTGTGTGTGTGTGGCAGGGTGTTGTGGTGGCCGGTTGTTGTGGTGGCAGGGTGTGTGGTGTGGCAGGGCGTGTGTGTAGTAGGTTGTGTGTGTGTGGCAGGGTGTGTGTGGCAGGTTGTGTGTGTGGCAGGGTGTGTGTGTGGCAGGGCGTGTGTGTGTAGTAGGTTGTGTGTGTAGTAGGTTGTGTGTGTGTGGCAGGGTGTGTGTGTGGCAGGGTGTGTGTGTGTGTAGCAGGTTGTGTGTGTAGTAGGTTGTGTGTGTAGTAGGTTGTGTGTGTGTGGCAGGGTGTGTGTGTGGCAGGGTGTGTGTGTGTGTAGCAGGTTGTGTGTGTAGTAGGTTGTGTGTGTAGTAGGTTGTGTGTGTGTATCTGGGTTGTTCGAGTGTAGTGGTCAGCGCTCTGCGCCACGAACCCGGCCACCCGAGTTCGACTCCCGCTCGCGGCCACCAAAACCGGTGACGATCATCCGCACCGGTCCTGGGCCTCTCCTAGGTCGACTCAGCCTCAAATGAGTACCCGGCGCGGTGTTTAGTAAACATCGCCACTGGGGGAGACAAAGGCGGCCGGGCGTGGTTGCTGACGACCCACCCCTATCGTGTGCGGCAGTGCCGGTCTTCAAAGCCGCTGCCACTCACTCACAGCCCCAAAAAGTCTGTCATGTCACACGGGGGGGGGGGGGGGGGGGGGGTCTTTGTGTGGTGTGTGCGAGTGTTGTTGGCCTGTGAGTTGGCACAGGCGGCGATGCACAGGCGGTCAGCAGGCGCGGTTCGGTCACGAGGGGTCGTATAGGGGCGCCACCCGACTAAGATGTGAAATGATACTGGTAGGAACCTCCTGGTTCCACCAACCCACAGGGGATTATTGTGTCCGTCCGTCCGTTGTGAAGGGAGGGGCTTGGTGGGGAGGGAGTGGCTGGGTGGGTGGGGAGGGAGGGGAGGGTGGGGAGGGGTTGGGTGGGGAGGGGCTGGGTGGGTGGGGAGGGAGGGAGGGGAGGGTGGGGAGGGGCTGGGTGGGGAGGGGTTGGGTGGGGAGGTGCTGGGTGGGGAGGATGGGGAGGGAGGGGCTGTGTCGGGAGGGGTTGGGTGAGGAGGGTGAGGAGGGGCTGGGTGGGCGGGGTGGGGCTGGGTGGGGAGGGGCTGGTCACCCTGTGGTGCCCTTATAAAACTCAACGTTTAACCTACTCACGCCGGCTTGTGCCCGCTCTCACAGTTGGGCATATTTGCGGAATACACCACGCCGCCGTTGACCCTGGCCATTGACCGAGCAACCCAACGTTCCTACCAGCTCCCTCCGCAGAAATGTGTTTATTTTATCGTTAAAAAAATACTTTTCTATCAATAATTTTGTTGTGTTTCAAAAAAAAAGTAAGTATAATGAGGATTCTTTCGACGTGAATTGCCTAACGAAGATAACATTTAAGTCGTTCGTATTAGAAACGGCGGTCGTGAAGAAGGCGTCCTCCCAGTGAGAGATGTCCCCTCCTGTCCGTCGCGATGAGCTCCTCGGCATTGTAGCGGCCACACCGCTATGAGACCCATTCAGGGCGGTGAAAAAAGGGGCCCGTGGCCGTCGTGAGACGAAGTCGCAACTCTGGGTCGCACCGTCGAAACGCAGCAGCTCACGGTCTACAGAAGGACACAGCAGCAAGGACGATGGCTGCACGTGCAGCACGTGCAGCAAACGAAGAATTAGCAAGGAACATTTTGGAGCCACTTCTAAATATTCGGATGAATATGGGGGGATTATTGTGTCCGTCCAGTCTGTCGTGCAGGGAGGGGAGGGTGGGGCTGGGTGGGGAGGGGCTGGGTGGGGAGGGTGGAGCTGGGTGGGGAGGGGCTGGTCACCCTGTGGTGCCCTTATAAAACTCAACGTTTAACCTACTCCCGCCGGCTTGTGGGAAGGGTGGGGAGGGGCTGGATGGGGAGGGTGGAGCTGGGTGGGGCTGGGTGGGGAGGGGCTGGTCACCCCGTGGTGCCCTTATAAAACTCAACGTTTAACCTACTCACGCCGGCTTGTGGAGAAGGTGGGGAGGGGCTGGGTGGGGAGGGTGGAGCTGGGTGGGGCTGGGTGGGGAGGGGCTGGTCACCCCGTGGTGTCCTTATAAAACTCAACGTTTAACCTACTCACGCCGGCTTGTGGAGAAGGTGGGGAGGGGCTGGGTGGGGAGGGTGGAGCTGGGTGGGGCTGGGTGGGGAGGGGCTGGTCACCCCGTGGTGTCCTTATAAAACTCAATGTTTAACCTACTCACGCCGGCTTGTGCCCGCCCTCACAGTCGGGCATATTTGCGGAATACACCACGCCGCCGTTGACCCTGACCATTGACCGAGCAACCCAACATTCCCGCAGGAAAGTGTTTATTTGTTTATTTTTGAATATTTAGAAGGGGGAATTTAGTGACGTGGACTTTTGAGGGTCATGGGGACATCATTTGAGCGTTTTGTTGTATTGTTTGCAAATGCCTACCCATTGTCACACTTTCACGGGAAGGCCAATAATAACATGACGAGGTTTTTCTTCATTTGAACACCGACTTTTCAGAGGGCCACTCGCAACAGCAACCCCACCTCGTGGCGATGTCACGAGACGCCCACTGCCTGTCATCTCAAGCTAGTCGACCCGTAAACACCCGGCTCCTTCCCGTGACCTGCCAGCACGCTTCACATCGTGGCCTCGACGTGCACCTAGCCTGGCACAAGTTCTGTAGGGAAGTCACTGCCACTTGAGGGTGTGCGTGTTTTGTTATTTTCTGTGAACCTATCGACGTCGCTTTACCGAAAGTCCCGAAGAACGTGTGCGTGTTGGGCTGCGTGATAAATCACCTGCTTTGGTGTGTTGTGTTGCACGGTGTGTTGTGCTGCGTGGTGTGTTGTGTTGCGTGTTGCATGGTGTGCTGGACGGCGCGGTGTGCTGCGTGGTGTGATTTGTAGCGTGTTGCATTGTTTGCTGATAAGTGTTTGTGAGTGATGTTGGTGGGTGAAGTTTGTGAGTGATGTTGGTGAGTGGTGTTTGTGAGCGATGTTTGTGAGTGATGCTTGTGAGCGATGCTAGGGTAGCAAGGTGGTGGTTGACCCAGTGGTACCCACATAACGCTTCACAGCAAGGAGCGCGTGGGGTTCGATTCCCGACAAAACACCCTGGCAGGACCCTCCTGAAAAACATTCCTTGGGTGAACGAGCGCAGTGCTGACAACAGTTGTCTTATCACTCCCCTCTTTCTCCCCTCTTTTTCCCTTCGGCGTGTCGGGGCAGCTGCGATGATGGCACTCAACGCGTCCCGAGCGGCCGTGTCAGCACTCCGTGGGGGGCGCCGGCCCCCCCTGCGTCTGCTTCCGCGCACGCAGCTCCGGTCGGTGTTTGGCGGGGGACTGTGGAGGAGGAGGGCCTACGCGGTGGTGGAGCCGGCCCTGGTGGGGCCAGCCCACGACGTGCCCAAGGTAGAGCGCCCGTAGCTCAGAGGTCGCAAACGGGTTTTGATTCCTTACCCGTACCCGGCCGCACCAGGGTCACAAACGGGTACCCGTACCCTACCCGATACCCGGCTACCCGTACTCGGCCGGGTATCGGGTAGGGTACGGGTACCCGATTGCGACTTCTGGGATGAAGCCATGTTGCAGGCGCGGGTGGGTTGATTCTAGGAACTTGAATTGTGAGAAGAGACAAGACGTTGGGAAATGAGTGACAAACGGTGACTCACCAGTGACTCACGGTCTACCCGTACACGGCCACACCAGGGTCGCAAACGGGTACCCGTACCTGGTCGGGTACGGGTAGCCGGGTATCGGGTAGGGTACGGGTATCGGGTACCCGGTTGCGACCACTGCCCCTCCCACATCGCATGAACATTCACCTGACCGATAACAGCTTAAAAAACTCTTTGGTTCTTTCGGTAAAGTCACGTAGAAAGAAAAAATAAATTAAATAATAGCATGCGACGTTTCGATTGCAACACAAGCAATCAAGCAATCAGGTACAAATATTTAATTTAGTTTTTCTTTCTACGTGGCTTTACCGAAAGAACCAAAGAGTAATTCCTGCGGTCACGAAAGCTCCAAATCAAGTTTGAACACCTTTATATATATAGGACCGTAGAGCTTGGGGTGAGGGTGGCAATTGTTGGCGCAGACTCACCGTGTTGTTGCTACTGCAGCCTTCATGCTCGTCTGTGGGTCCACCTGACGTAACAATCGTAATAATGATGGCAATGTATGCACGTTATACTTCTTCCACACCCTACATAGTCAACTCTGCTAATCGGAGATCAGAGGCATGGATAAGGGGCCGTCCATAAATGACGTCACACACCTGGGGGGGGGGGCAGACATTTGTGACGATGTGTGACGAGGTGGGGGGGGGGTGTTTGAGAAACGTGACGTCACATCAAAATGCACAACTCTAAATAAATATAGACAACACGTTCTACTTAATTAAATAGACTTTGTAATAAATGTTTTCTCCTCCAACATTAGAGTGCAGCGCCACATTAAATACGCACTACAATGACAATAGTTTAAAGCGATTTGAAGCATGTTTTATTTTCAAAATGGAAATATGGTTTTGGGGGGGGGGAGGCAGAGCTTTGTGACGTCATATTTGAGGGGGGGGTCTGACTTTTTGTGACGCCGTGTGACGAGGGGGGGGGGTCAACAATCGTCCAAAATCGTGTGACGTCATTTATGGACGGCCCCTAAGGACAGCGAACTGCAGACCCTCGGCCTCGGCCGCGTGATGCGTGTGCGCCAGAGGTCGCAACCGGGTACCCGATATCCGTACCCTATCCGATACCCGGCTACCCGTACCCGGCCGGGTACGGGTACGGGTAGCCGTTTGCGACCCTGGTGCAGCCGAGTACGGGTACGGGTAGGCCGCGAGTCACTGGTGAGTAGCCGTTTCTCACTCATTTCGGGTAGGGTACGGGTAAGGGAACGGCTACCCGTACCTGGCCGGGTACGGGTAGCCATTTGCGACCCTGGTGCGGCCGGGTACGGGTAAGGAATCAAAACCCGTTTGCGAACTCTGGTGTGTGTGCAGCACATCGAGCGGCCGGACTACGTGCTGTCGGGGGCCGTGCCGGAGTGGGGCGACTACATCGAGCTCAAGGGCCCGGAGGAGCTGGCGGGCGTGCGGGCCGCGTGCCAGCTGGCGCGCCACATCCTCCTGCACACGGCCTCGCGCATTCAGGTGACGGCCTCCATCCACAGCAGCAGCAGCAGCTATGACTGCAGCGAACGCCCACGATTAGCACGGTTGCAATATTTTGCTGTCTTGGATTTTCTGTTTGCACTCAGTCACATATTCACTTTAAAATGTTTTTTTGTTCATGTTTTTGTTTGTTGCGGTTGCACCCGATTCAAGAGCCGAATGGCTCACAGGGCTATACCTAATACATGAACTTGAACTTGAACGTGTGGTGCGATAGAAGTTCAACATACATATAATAGACACAACTAGTCCTACAAATACAGCAGTAACCACAACTACTCCCACAAACAGAACAACCGCAATAATAACGACCTCAGCTATTACTACAAACAACAGTAACGACTACCACTGCATACACAACAATAGTAACAACAACCACAGATACTACAAACTCAATAACTACAGTAACATCTTCAGTTGTGAAACAAACAAAACAACAACTACCGCCACCACCACCACCACGTCCACTAAAAACAGGAGGTGCGGGGGAAGGACAACAAACTGAACACAAAAAGCAGTTCGAAAGAAATTGACTAGTTAAGGCCTACTGAGCTATGTAGCTATTTTTCATAAGCTAGCCTGTCCGCAAATTATAGCTCAACCAAGTGGCTTATCATCGCGTGGAAATGTAAAGCAGCCAAATACTCTAAACGCGTGATGTCGATTCTAAATGTGGAGGGAAAAACCGGAGGACCCGGAGAAAAATCCACGCGACTACGGGGAGAGAGACACCGCAAACTACAAATATACCACAGGCATCAGGGTCGGGGTCAAAACCCACGACCTCCTGTACACCAGTCGAAGTAGTTAACATTTATTCTAGATTTGAAGCTTTCGTGACTGCAAGGATTCATATTCTTAGGTTTTTTCGGTAAAGTCACGTAGGTAAAAAATTAAAATTAATGAAAGTAAAATAACCGTGATGATGATGAGAGAGAGAGACACGCAAACTCCAATTATACCACAGGCGTCAGGGTCGGGATCGACCCCACGACCTCTTGTATACCAGGCAAGGTAGTTCACATCCTCGCCACCGTGATGATGATGAGAAACGCAAACTCCAACTATACAGCAGGCGTCAGTGTCGTGATCAAAAACCCACGACCTCCTGTATACCAGGCAAGGTAATTCACATCCTCGCCACCGTGATGATGATGAGAGATGCAAACTCCAACTATACAGCAGGTGTCAGTGTCGGGATCAAAACCCACAACTTCCTGTATATCAGGCGAGGTAGTTCACATCCTCGCCACCGTGGCGCCGGCGGGTGGTGCGGGTGGTGCAGGTGGGCACGACGACGGAGGAGATCGACGGCGTGGCGCACCGCGAGACGGTGGCGCACGGCGCCTACCCGTCGCCGCTCGGCTACCGCGGCTTCCCCAAGTCGGTGTGCACCTCCGTCAACAACGTGGCGTGCCACGGCATCCCCGACAGGTGAGGGCCGATGCAGGTGTCACTGCGGGGGAGGAGGAGAAGGATGGAGGGTGGGGTACGCACAGAAACTCCGCGGACAAATGCCCAAGTGCATTGCTCCTCTGGCGTTTAAGGAAGCGGTGGGAGAGAATCTTGATTTGAAGCTTTCGTGGCTGCAGGAATCCATACTCTTTGGTTCTTTCGGTAAAGTCACGTAGGTAGAAAATGAAATAAATCACGACGTTTCGGGCGCAACACAAGCGTCCGTCATCAGGTGATGACACAATATTCAAGCGTCCGTCATCAGGAGAGTATAGTGGGAGAGATATTGGTGCTCACTGCCACCGGTCAGGTAGGGGGACGGTGAGCGAGGTTCACGAACATTCATTTGGGGCGGGAAGGATAGGGGAAGGATGACAAAAATAAGGGGATAAAAATGGGGGTGGGGAAGGGGGAGGGAGGGAAAGGTGAGGTGGGGGGGGCGGCATGGGGAGAGAATGGAAATTTTATAGTCCAACTGGCTCATCACTTTTTGGGCACTCCACCACCCCTTCCTGTGAAGGTTCTCCTAAATCCGGCGAAATGTTGGGATTGTGGTCTGGGGCGCCGGAAACTGAACGGGTTTATTAATTTCATTTCATTTTCTCTGTGATGATCATTTTATCGTTACGTGCATTTGTTTTCTCTCTCTCGTTATTTTTGCATTCATTTGTGTTTGTTTTTGATGCGCTAAGTGGAGGGGTTTTATTTTTGGTACCATCTGCGTAAGTGACTGGCTAATTGATGTGCAGCGTTGTGGGATGCAATTGCATGAATGATGCTAGGTGAAATGAAATTATCATTATTAATGGGGAAAAGACGGGGGAAACGGTGGGGGGGGGGGGGGGAAGCAGTTAGCAAAATCCGCAAAGCAAAAATAATTTTCAACGCGTCAAGTGAACTTATCGCCAGCTATCGAACCCGTGACTCCGTCTGTGGAGTTTGCGTGTTCTCCCACACGTGCAGCCTGCAGTGCCGCAAATCGGCGTTTAAACCGGCGCGCGTTTCTCCCCTTTGCAGCCGACCTCTGCAGAACGGAGACATCGTCAACGTTGACGTCACGGTAGGACGCCTTTTCTGTTACTTTTAATGCGCTCGTTTATTTTTGGCACCCGTAAAACACGCTTTGGCGAAGGAATTCACATCGTCGATGAGGACCTGGTCACGCAACAGGAACATGGTTACAGCAAAATAACGTAACAAAACAACTTTCAAATCAATAGCGCGAGGTAAGGAATTCAGAATGGCAAGGTCGTACGTTAATCTAGTACCACAAGCATGAAAAACATATACAGTGGAACCCCTCTTAACGACCACCCCTGTTAATGACTAATCGCTTAATGACGGGCCTCCACAGAGCCCAATGTGTAGTGTATTATCATTTGCGACCTGACCGCAAATGATAACAGCTCAACAAAGCGGCTTATCGCCGCGTGGAAAATCCCAGCAGCCGAGTTAACGGCGTTCGGCGTCTCACCGAGCTAGTGTCGTGCGCGTGCGAGCGAGCAGGTGTACCACAAGGGTTTCCACGGCGACACTTCGGAGACCGTGCTGGTGGGCGACGTGGACGCGGCCGGCCGGCGTCTCGTGGAGGCGGCGCGGCGTTGCCGTGACGCCGCCATCGCCGCCTGCGGCCCGGGCCAGCCTCTGTGCATCATCGGCAACACCATCAGGTGTGAGAGCGGCAGTGAGACGGAGCCACGATTCGTCATCGACGTTCGGCTCGGGTGACTGCGTCATGTGTGTGTGTTCACACTATGAAACCTCCTTTACCAGTGGCAAAATATAGTAATAGGCTTTTACCGTTTCAATTGGTACAAAAAACTGACACCTTTATACAAGGCATCATGTTTGCAATAACCACAACACAAGCAGTCAAAATGCAAACAAAAATAAACGTCTCTGATAATGATAATGATATGCACAGTTTTTTGTACCAGTTGAAAGGGTAAAAGCCTATTACTATATTTTGCCACTGGTAAAGGTGGTCTCATAGTGTGAATGCTTACCCCGAGCTCTCAATACTCTGATAGTGCGCTGTTTTTGGGTTGTATGCCTTTTGGCGTCATCTGGTCCAACACCAATGGAGACTAGGCTCTAAGAAAAGCTGTCTCGGGTGTGGATCAATCAACTTCATGGACAGGGCATATCATTATCAGAGTTGTTTATTTTTGTTTGCATTTTGACTGCTTGTGTTGTGGTTATTGCAAACATGATGCCTTGTATAAAGGTGTCAGTTTTTTGTATCAGTTGAAGCCTATTACTATGTGTGTGTGTGTTGAACTTCTTTCGCACCGTATGTAGCCAACCGTGCTAATCGGAGGTGCGGGGAAAGGAGAGCAAACTGAACAGAAAAAGCATTTCTAAAGAAATGAGTTTTCAATCTAGATTTAAAAGGGCACAGCTCCAGTTGCTTTCTAACATCATAAGAGCGTTCCAGACGGCCACAGAAGCGTATCTGAATGCGGGCGATAAAGTGACCATCTTTGCTCGAAGGCTAGCCAAAATCCGCTGATGCGAGGATGACCGGAATTTCCGTGAAGGTTTATGCTCCTTGACGAGATCAGTGAGGTATTGCGGTTACGCGGCAATCCGACCCAAAAAAGAAAGAAATTTCGACTCATAACATGGGTCGCTAAAGCCTGCACGCTCAATTTAGCCTGTCCCGTGACCTCCTGCCAGCGAGGGCCTTCCGCACTTCACATTGACGGCCCCAAAGGCCACCGAACCTGGCACAAGCGCCGTGGTCAGAAATCCCTCGCCTCTCTGCTACAGCCGATAGCAAACTAAACGCAAACAGCAGCTCGGATGCGGGTGATCTTTAGGCACGGCCTCAGCTCGGCGCACGAGGCAGCGTTCGTCTAGAGGCCAAGCCAGAGGCAAGCCATGACTTCAGAACACGGCTGTGAGCCTTGTCCTACAGCCTGTGTTCATCCTCTGTTCACCTGCGCTCACCTGCGCTGCAGCCGGCTTGCCCGTGACGGTGGCTTCTCCGTGTGTCCCTACTTCGTGGGACACGGCATCGGCTCTTACTTCCACGGCCACCCCGAGGTCTGGCACCACGGTGAGTCCTGCGGCAGCACCTCCATCAACTTGGTCGTCGTCGTCATCATTAACATCATCATCTTAACACGGAGGCTTTCGCGACCAATATCATCCGTAATACAGGTTTTTTTGCGCGGGTTAGATCGCGTAAATACCTAAATGTGTCGTTAAACCCGACACCACACCCGACAGCCAATTAGTAAGGTTTGTCACGTAAACAGAACATGCCAATTCCTTACTAAAATCTGGCTGTCGCCTGATGAAGCTGGTTGTAATTACTGGCGAAACGTCGTACTCAGATTGTAAATGTTGTGGCTTGGCTCTCCAACACACCGGTGTGCTGTACTAGTGACGAATTGGCACGTTCTTACTCTTAGGTTTTTTCGGTAAAGTCACGTAGGTAGAAAAATTTTAATAAAAAATAATAGAAGTAATAATAGAAATAAAATAATAAATATAATAATTATTTTATTTCTATTATTAGAAGTAATAATAGAAATAAAATAATAATTATGGAAATTATTTAAATAAAAAAATAATACATGTAATAATAGAAATAAAATAATTATTATGATTATTATTTTATTTCTATTATTACTTCTAATAATAGAAATAAAATAATTATTATAATTATTATTTTATTTCTATTATTACTTCTAATAATAGATATAAAATAAATTTTATAATTATTATTTTATTTCTATTATTACTTCTATTAATAGAAATAAAATCATAATTATAATAATTATTTTATTTCTATTATTACTTCTATTAATAGAAATAAAATCATAATTATAATAATTATTTTATTTCTAATATTACTTCTATTATTTTTCATTTTAATTTTTCTACCTACGTGACTTTACCGAAAAAAACCTCCTAAGAGTATGAATCCTTGCAGTCACGAAAGCTTTAAATCTAGAATTGGCACGTTCTGTTTACGTGACAAACCTTACTGGTTGGCTGTGTCGGGTGGTGTCGGGTTTAACAACACATTTATATATTTACACAATCTAACCCCAAGAAAAACCTATATTATGGATCATCATCATTAACATCATCATCATTAACATCATCATTAACATCATTATCAACGTGACCCCACCGTCTCTCTCTCGTCATCTTTGTACGTATTGTATTGTTCATTTGCGCACACACACACAAAAAACCAAGCAAAAGACAAACAGTGCAGCATTGCCGGCAACTGCGTTGCGCTTCGATCGCGTGTGTGTGGCGCTCGTGCACCGGCCGCTCAGCCCAGGGCGGCCACACGACGCGTTGTGACGCCTCGCTGTCGCCTCTGGCCTCTCTGCAGAGAACGACGTCGACCTGCTGATGGAGGAGGGGATGGTCTTCACCATCGGTGGGTGGACCATGGAGACGCGTTGTGATGGGGGGTGGGCGACTTGTAGTGCTCTCAAACTCATCTTCGTGTGCTTCCTATCTTAACGTGATTTATAAATCGCCTCGACCGATGCACTTCACCACAGTTAGTGGAATTTCTTTTGCGCCGTACGTAGCCAATCGTGCTAATCGGAGCTGCAGGGGAAGGACAACAAGAATTGGGGGGTACGTAAGTTGTGTCACGGTGAAGATGGGGGTGAATAGCAATAGGCGAGAGGAAGTAATCGGGGCGAATCTGTGATGCGTAAATATTTCTAATTTAAGCTTTCGTGACTGCAGGGATTCATCTTCTTGGTTCTTTCGGTAAAGTCACATAGCTTTTATTTTACGAAAGCCACTGTAATCTGAGGTCTTGGGGATAAACTTGAATTTCGGCTGAGAAATAACGATCATAACATCAAGCTCCATTTTCCCCTTCACCTTGAGTCCTTCGTACGAGCTGCCGGTATAAACGATTTCTTCAATCGAGGGATCTATGTTTTTCTGCATAATACTTCCCATCCCGTCCAGTAGTGTACGAACCTCGCATTCGGCAGTTTTGATGTGGGAATCGAGCAGCCAAGGTAGAAATTCAACCTTTCTGGTGTAGAACCAATCTAGTTCAATGCTGGACGCCATCATTGGAGTTCACTGCAAACAGAAGGAACGTTATAATCACAGCGGACTTTTACCTTTCGTGATGTTTACTACCCTTTTTTTTCTTCTTGGTTCTTTCGGTAAAGTCACGTAGAAGGGAAATAATAAAATAATAAAAATAAAACATAATAAAATACAATTTTCACGACGTTTTGACCACAACGCATGCAGCTGTCCTCAGGTGAAAAACAGGTCTGTCGGAAAAGACCGTGTCTGAACAGACCTGTTCTTGTCTGTCAGAAAGACAGCGTCTGAATTCGGACGCTAACCAAAATCCGCTGATGCGAGGATGACCGGAATTTACGTGAAGGTTTATGCTCCTTGATGAGATCGGCGAGGTATTGTAAAACCTGGCAGGACCCTCCTGAAAAAAAAGCCTTAAGATTCGGCTTCCCGTGGTTAACAAGTGGCATACAAACAACCAAGGCCGTAGCCATGGAGTCAACATTGGGGGGGACCAAATCTATTTTATAGCAATATATTGGGGGGGGGGACATTTTGAGCATATTTGAATATTGGGGGCGGGGGGGGGGATGTGTCCCCCCCCCTAATATTTATTATCATTACGGCCTTGCAATCAACAACAAAAACACGAGTTGACTTTCTCCCTCCAGAACCAATCCTGATGGAGGGCTCGCCGGAGGTCAGAACGCTCGCAGACGGATGGACCGTGGTCACGCTGGATCACAGCAGGTACATGGCACCGTGTAGCATCTTTGTCCTTGACTGCCCGTTTCTGTGTGCATGCGGCTGTTTGTCTTTGTGTCCGTGCGGAGGGTTAAGGTAGCGGCTAGCGCTACCGTACTGCACCTCCGATTATTGCGGTTGCTTACGCACGATGCGAACGAATGTCGACGCTACCGCTCCCCCATACTCACCCTCGCACAAAGACAAAGATCCCCCGTATAACCTTAACAGACTGTTGGGGAACGTGCTGTCGGCGAGCACCTATTAAGGCCAGCACGGCACACGAGGGGGTGGGTGGCCAGCACTATGACTCACCGCCTTTGTCTCCCCAGTGGCCAAATTTACACACCGCATCAGGTACTCATTTGAGGCTGAGTCGACCTAGGCGAGGCCCAGAACCAGTTCAGATAATCGTCACCGGTGTTGGCCACGAGCAGGAATCGAACTCGGGTCGCCGGGTTCGTAGCGCAGCGCGGAAAGCCGCTACACCGCCGCTCCCCATCATTTGGATTCACACGCAGCAGCAGCAGCAGCCCCTACTGCGAGAAAATGTCCAGGACTCCTTTAAAAAACGTCTTGAGACTGGGGAGGGAGCCTTGCCTGGGTGACCACGCAGAACCATAATAAGAAAATAAGAAAATAAAAGAATAACACTGGTCAACACACTTTTTCTGGTATAAGGTATTCTAACGGGTTTAAGGTAATTTTGGGATGCTGATTCCAAATCTGGTATCAGTTTTTGTCTATCACATCATGTTTTTGAGATATCAAATATTTTTGCATTTTCAATAAAAACTGCAGAAGAAAAATATTAAATAAATGTGGATATCTACATAAAATTATATTATAAACACACTATCCTAAAATACAGCACCGTGTTTTAACACTAAAGCAGTCACTGACTCGCAACAACTTGCAATCATAAGTGACAGAGTTAATTTCTGGTAAAATCAATGAAAATGGGGTATGCCGATAGCATAAAAATGAGATGTGATAGAGCAAATCTGAGACCAGATTTGGAATCCGCACCCTGAAATTAATCTAAAACAGCTGCAAAAGTCCAGTGTAATAACTGGATTCCAAAAATAACCGTCGCTCTTCACCGACTACGGAAGAAGGGCAGCTGATGCGGCAGTGCCACGCCACAGACCAAGCCGGCCGGCGGCGGTGGGCCCTACGCGAGTAGCCTATTGGTGGATCACCGCAACAGATGTTGCGTAACTCCCTTGCCCCGTGGGTGGGTTTGCATCGAGAAGGAGCCATACCCCCCCCCCCACCCCCGGCTTGCCTGGGCGAAGTGGTCCGGCAAAAAAAAGATGCGGACCCCGCACCCGTTGCGTCCGCACGAGGATAGCGTTTATCCCTCGCACTCGCGCGGGATTTCTCCGTGCGCTCCGGTTGCTTCCCCGCACGTGCCTGAACACTCCATCGGTTGCCAAAAACCATCTTCGTGCACGGAGGACCGCAGAGCTCGGGCGGCCCATTGCGTGGCTGCTGCTGTCGCCTTCCCGCTCGTCTGCGGCTCCTCTTCCCCCCCCCATCTCGCTAAATCTCTGCGAGAGCGAGGAGCCGACACCGTGCGGTGGTGGCGAGGGCGCGGCGTTACGAGTTGACATTATTGTTACTTTGGCAGCTGATTAGGCAACCCCCCCCCCTCCCCGTGACTCACGCTGCCCCCCCTCCTACCGTGAACCCCGCAGGTCGGCGCAGGCGGAGCACACGGTCGCCATCACCAGCAGCGGTGTGGAGACGCTCACCAGGGCCCCCCATGAGCTGGAGTGACCATCACCCACCCCAATCCAAGGTCACCACCGTTTCCAGAATCGGCGTCTTTGGTTGGCGGCTGAGATCCGGGACCGCTCTCATGGAATTCATCGCCGTCAACTGCACAGCGTCGATCACGGGCTTGATCTACGGAGGAGAAGCTGCCGACCATGATACAATGACGACGTTGCCTGCATGCAGCAACAACAGCAACGACAGCAACAACGCGCGATTATCACAACCCCGGCTTGTGGCGATAATGGAATAGCGTTGATAACAGAAGATGCAGTGTACCCTTGATACGACGGTGTTGCGTGCGTCTGCGTACAGAGCTGTGTTGAACCCCGGCTTGTGACGATAATGGAATAAAGATGTGTCTCGCTATTTTGTTTAACGCCCCAGCAATCATTACAAATTCTCGTTGTCACACCACACAGACACACGCCATGGTTGACCGAGGTGCGGCCCAGCGGATCGGTGAGCGGTGATGGCTTCAACTCGTCGGGACGGCTGGGAGACACCAAACCCGGCCAGCAGCCATCCAATAACTCTTCCCTTGTGAACTCACCCAGTCATCCACTCGCCCATTTCCTCATTCACTAACTCACCAACTCACCCAATCATCCACTCGCCCATTTGCTCATTTACTAACTCACCCACTCACCAACTCACCCAGTCATCCACTCGCCCATTTACTCATTCGCTAACTCACCAACTCACCCAGTCATCCACTCGCCCATTAACTCATTCACTAACGCACCCACTCACCCAGTCATCCACTCACCCATTTAATCATTTACTAACTCACCCACTCACCCAGTCATCCACTCGCCCATTTGCTCATTCACTAACTCACCAACTCACCCAGTCATCCACTTGCCCATTTAATCATTTACTAACTCACCCACTCACCAACTCACCCAGTCATCCACTCGCCCATTTGCTCATTCACTAACTCACCAATTCACCCAGTCATCCACTCGCCCATTTAATCATTTACTAACTCACCCACTCACCAACTCACCCAGTAATCCACTCGCCCATTTGCTCATTCGCTAACTCACCAACTCACCCAGTCATCCACTCGCCCATTTAATCATTTACTAACTCACCCACTCACCAACTCGCCCAGTCACCCACTCATCCATTCCCTCATTCATCAACTCACCCACTTACCAACTCACCCAGTCATCCACTCACCCATTTCCTCATTCACTAAGTTATGTAACCCCCACTCAGCATGCAGAGTTGGGAGAGCCTAGGCATTGCATTGTGCTGCATTCCTGTCACTATTACAGAATTATTATTATTGGTGTGTTTGTTTTCCCAGGAAAGCTATCGGGCCACTGTTTCAGAGTAGGGGGGGGGGGGTGATGTTGCAGCTGCGTGTGGATCCCAATTGAGAAAATGTGCAGGTAACTTTTTCGAGCATTGGGCTGTTTGACGAACACCCGTGAAAAATGTCGGCGTGAACTTTCGGTAGAGCCACCACCGGCGTTTATCACCATAGCATCGCCTTTCATTTCCTGCCAGTACCAGTGCAGCGAGAGGTCAGGAGCTGGAGGAAGTTAAGTGGGAGGAAGTCCAGACTACTATCGCTTTACGAGTTCCACGCTCTATCTTTTTTCTTTGAGTGCTCGCGAGCCCGGCAGGGCGGACGGATCTTTTCCCCAACTCGCACGAGACTCTCTCCTCCGTTCCCCGGCCGATGAAATTTGCTCCCCGCCGCCGAGGTGAGTGGCCGTCCCACGGCCCCAGGCAGCCCCCCCCCCCCCCACCCCCGACTCGGGTCGATGTCGAAGCGCCTTCTCTTCGGAGCTGCGTCAATACTCGCGCGCGTGCCAGAGCACCGGTTCCGTCGAGATGACTTGTCTTGTCTGTCCGGCAGGCGGGCAGGCAGGCGGGCGGGCAAGCAGGTGGGCCAGGCAGGCGGACAGGCAGGCGGGCCGGCGGACAGGCAGGCGGGCCGGCGGACAGGCAGGCAGGCGAGCAGGCAGGCGGGCAGGCAGGTGGGCCAGGCGGGCGGGCAGGCAGGCGGGCAGGTGGGCCAGGCAGGCGGACAGGCAGGTGGGCAGGCAGGCGGGCCAGCGGGCAGGCAGGCGGGCAGGCAGGCGGGCCAGCGGGCAGGCAGGCGGACAGGCAGGCAGGCGAGCAGGCAGGTGGACCAGGTAGGCGGACAGGCGGGCAGGCAGGCATGACTGGAACATGGGGCGGAGATGGCGGCCTGTCTGCCTTGAGGCAGGCGCCGTGTCTGCCTTGAGGCAGGCTCCCTGTCTACCTTGAGGAAGAGACTTCGTATTGGAGCCACAGGGCCACCGAGAGCGTCTGCTCAGCCGACCAAGCCGAGAGCTCTGTGGGCAATCTTCTGGGGACTTTTCGGAACCTGAGCACTTTTAGCCATTGGAAGGTTTCTGAAGTTCGCCGCTCAGTCTATCCTGCCACCAGGCCCGTTGTGGACACTTTCTTACCATAAGGGGCACCGCGGTGGCTAGGAGATGTTAACTCCATCACCTGGTATACAGGAGGTCGTGCGTTCGATCCCGACCCTGACGCCTGCTGCTGTATATTGAGTTTGCGTGTCTTTCTCTCTCATCATCATCACGGTGGCTAGGAGAGGTACCGGTGGGTACTTCTCCCAAATTACACAAGCCATGGCAGGGGCTTGTTGATTTGATAGAGGTACGCAGTCCTCAATGTGTACGTATACGGGCGGGTTCGCGCCGCTGGTATGTCCACACTTCGCGGTTGAAACCCTTCTTTGCTCCGCGCGTTGATCCCTCATCCCCATTAACTACCCAGCCGGGGTCTGATGCGTCCAATGGGCCACCTCGGTTGCCGGTTGATCCCCAGAAGGGGTCCGGTTTGCCTTCCACAAACTCACAGACCAGGGGAGGGGCTGCTGTGGCAGCCAAAGAGGGGAGGGGCTGCTGGGGGCTCAGGATCCCAGACAGCTAAGCCCCTCGGCGCTACCAACGGGGGGCTGCGGGGGATCTACAATCCAAAGCAACTCCACCCCTCGATGGGCAAGGGGCACAAAAGGGCACCTCCCCAGCCGATTGGGACCAGTCGCAGCTGAAGAAACAAGACCAGCCAGCTTAGGACCCTGGACCCCCTCGCCCTATTGTCCTTGTAAAGGCCGGTGCACTGTGTGGGCCAGTGGTGGGACTTTGGGACTCCCGGCTCTTCGCCCTTGTAAGGGCGAGGTCCAAGGAAGCCAGAGTCGAGACCTGCACCTTGGCTGGGTCAGGTCAGGTAGCCTCCCCGAGGGTAATCATAGCCGGAAGACCCGAGAGCGTAGCCAGTGTCAGGCACGCTAGAAGTAGGCTGTATCCCTAGGCTGTATTAGTACTGTTGGAGTGGTGTGTTGTAATAAAGAAGTTGCCTCTGCAAAGTGTCTCCGGAACCCATCACACTAGTAACGAATTGGCACGTTCTGTTTACGTGACAAACTTTACCATTTGACTGCGTCGGGTGGTGGCGGGTTAAACGACACATTTATATATTTACGCGCTATAACCCAAAAAAAAACTGTATTATGGAGTATGTTGCCTGTTTACCCAGCAAGCGAAATACCACGGTTTTTTTTTGCACAAGGCAGGCGATGTTCCTGCTGCGTGTGATTCCCAACTGAGTAATTTGCAGGGAATTGGACAATCAACACCAGGTTACGTTGAGTTTTAACCTCTACCAGAAGGCTGCATAACCTGGATGAAACTCGTGCATTTAAAGGGAGGGGTGAGAACACGCAGACTCCACGCAAATAGGCACCCCGAGTCGGGAACTGAACCCGGGTATTTTATTTTAATAATATAAACGCCAACTTTTTCTGTGATGAATATGATGAACGCTGCACTTCCCGTCGTTTTCATGCAGGGGGCGCTACAAACCTACGCGTCCCCTGTATGAACGACGGAGGCGCAGGAACAGACGTTCGATTACGTTGGAATCGATCTGCAGTCGGCGGTCTTCTCGCACGGCCAGCTCGATGTCGCCTTAGGGGCCCTCCATAAATGACGTCACGCACCTAGGGGGGGGGGGGTCAGACATTTGTAACAATGTGTGACGGGGGGGGGGGGTTAGAAATGTGACGTCACGTCAAAATGCGCAACTTTAAATAAATATAGACAACACGTTCTACTTAATAAAATATACTTTTTTATAAATGTTTTCTACTACAACATGAGAGTGCAGCGCCACACTAAATACGCACTACAATGGCAAAAGTTTAAAGCGATTTGAAGCATGTTATATTATTTTTGGAGTGCGGGCAGAGCTTTGTGACATCATATTTGAGGGGGGGGCTGACTTTTTGTGACGCCATGTGCCGAGGGGGGGGGGGGTAAAAAATCGTCCAAAATCGCGTGACGTAATTTATGGACGGCCCCTTATCTCGATCCGGCAATCCCAAACAGGTGAAAGTCCGCGTCGAACTGAACCCGCTGCAAGGCCATCTACTTAACGACGAGAGAAATTTCACACGAAATGTCCTTTTCAATGAAGTCTTCCAGATGTAAAATGATATAAGCTTTTAATGAAGAAATAAAAAAATATCTAATTCAAAACATAATACAATTCAAAGATGTTTCATTTTAAAACTTCAAAACGGAGCATCGGGTGTTTGCGTGAATGCGTCGTTCGTGTGAAAAAAAATTGGTGACCTTTCTGGCCGAAGGCCACCACGGGAGTGTACGGGCACAGCATCATGGGGAGGAGTATTGAGGTGAAAGAAGTGGATTTGCAACACAAAGACAAAGATCCCCCATGTAGCCTGTAACAGACTGTCGGGGCAAGTGCTGTTAGAGAGCAGCTATGAAGGCCGGAACGGATGGGTGGCGAGCACCACGCCCGCCCGCCTTTGTCTCCCCAGTAGCGATGTTTACGCACCGCACCATGTTACTAATTTGAGGCCGAGTCGACCTGGGGGAAGCCCCAGGACCGGTTCAGATAATTGTCAATGGTGTTCGTGGCCGTGAGCGGGAATCGAACTCGGGTTGCCGGGTTCAGTAGCGCAGTGTAGCGCTAACCGCTACACACAGACATAGAACCACACGGAGTTGCAACACACAGACACAGAGACGCAAGAATTTGCAATACAGAGACACAAGGGGTTGCAACACACAGACACAGAGATTCACGGATTTGAAACACACAGACACAGAGACACACGGAGTGACCTGCATAAGACCGTGCCTTGCAACGGGGTTAATCGTCACCCCCATCGCTGTGCACACAACCCGTGGCTTTCTCCCATTGGGCGCGTCGCGTTCTTCACGTCAGAGACCAATTCACGAGAAAAAGTTACTGACGGCCGTTGCCTGGAAGTGACCCCATCAGGTGACGCAGGACGATTTAGTCGGGGTATAAAGCAGCGATGTCCTGGGGGGTCACAGCTTCATCGTGATTTGAGGTTCGGCAACCCAAGGTGAGTTGCTTCCCAGTCACCGACAGAATATCCAGCAGTGGATGTCTCTTGCTATGTGTTGCACACTCGAAATGAAGGACGTGGGCAGGTGCTCCAAATCGCGTTCAGACACATTTATTTATGGTAATCTGTAAAATGCAACAGCACTTACGTCACATACAGCAATTTTCAACCGAGTCGCCATTTAACCACGTGACTGGTGTACAGGTAAGGTTAGGTAAGGTTAAATCTCGATTTGAAGTTTTCGTGACTGCAGGGATCCATACCCTTTGGTTCTTTCGGTAAAGTCACGTAGGTAAAAAATATAAAATAAATTAAATCACGAGGTTTCGGGCGCAACACAAGCGTCCGTCATCAGTTGGGACAACCACAGCAATTGTTTCTTGCTGTGGTGGCCGCTTGTGATGTGAATCGCTAAGGACAAGTTCATCCATTGACCAGGGGCAGACCTGCCATGCTCTGCAGTGGGTGCGTGTGGTTTAGGGCGGTGTCTGTTTTTGAACAAGCGCCAGTGTACATTCCACATTTCTACAATGGGGTCCATTCCGTCTTTCCAACAACAGATGCTGCCTAAAATGTGCAACTAAAACGTGCGAGGATGAGATGCAATGCCTCATATATGACGCTCATTGGTTATACAGTCGTACCTTTTGAGTAGCGGCGTGGCGCAGTGGTAACACTCGTGCCTGACAGCAGGAAAGGTTCCTGGGTTTGATTCCCGACAAGGGCGCCTTTCTGCCAGTGGTGTTTGTGTAACTGCCTATCACTGCTCAACCCCGGCTATTAGTGCTTTGATATTTGCATTGGCCTTGGAGTTGTCGCCCTTTGACGTTGTTTTCTGGTCTAACGCTCGTGGTGAGACAAAGGCCACGAAGAAGGCTGCCTCTGGTGTAGGCCATTCAGTTTCAAAGACAATGCGTGGGTTATTATCAGAGCATGTTTGTTCGCATGTTTTTGCCACGAGCACGAGTGGTCAATGCGGACTTGATGATGCCTTGCAATCGGTGTGTCGAGCTGGTGGGTTTGCTCCGAGTTTTCCGGTTTCCTCCCACGGCGAAAACAAACAAAAAAGGCCGCATGCAATGTATCTGGTATTAACTTAAAGCTTTCGTGACTGCAGGAATTAATATTCATTGGGTCTTTCGGTAAAGTGAAAGATATATTTTTTGTAACAATTTTTTTTTATTTATTGTTCTACGTATTGTTTCAGCATCCCAATGCCAAAACAAAATTACCTGCAGATTACTCAATTAAGATTACACACAGCAGCAACTACACACCCTACTGTAAAAAAAGTTGGCAGGACCCTCCTGAAATAATGTCGTGAGGCTTTTTCCCTGGGTAGACAAGCACGATGATATGAAATGCTTCGTGGCAGTAAACATCACGAAAGGTAAAAGTCCGCTGTGATTTGAACGTTGCTTGTGTTTGCAGTGAACTCCAATGATGGCGTCCAGCATTGAACTCGATCGGTTCTACAGCGAAGAGGTTGAGTTTCCACCTCGGCTGCTCACTTCGCACATCAAAACTGCCGAAAGCGAGGTTGGTACACTACTTGACGGGATGGGAAGCATTCTGCGGCCAGACATAGATCCCTTGATTGAAGACATCGTTTATACCGGCAGCTCCTACGAAGGACTCAAGGTGAAGGGGAAAATGGAGCTGGATGTTATGATCGTTATCTCTCACCCGGAATTCAAGTTTATCCCCATGACCTCACATTACAGTGGCTATCGTAAAATAGAAGCTGAGCGACAACCACTTACTCAACTGCAAGCAACAGGTTTTTGGAAATCAGAAAGTCCCTTTCACTCATTTGAAAAGGACTTTACCAGCAATGGATACCTGATACCATCAAAAATATATCAGTGGTTCCAGTCATTAGCAGACAGAGCAGTCAAAGAAAACAAGTTAAATTTTTTTACAAAGTTTGTAGGCAACTATCCAGCCCGTACGCTCATTTTAAATATTAGCCCCGGTGTTGATATCTACGTGGACCTCGTCCCAGCGATCAAAATCGAGGGAGATCTCTACGCGGTGGCCAAACCCTTGAAGACATCCCCAGAATTGCACCTCTGGAGGCTGTCGTTCTCGGTCTTCGAGAAAAAGATCCTCAGGCAGCATCAAAGCTCCTTCCACCTGAATGCCCTGAAGATCCTCAAGTACCTGCGGGAGCACGACCCTCGGCTGGAGGAGACGTCTCAGTTCGCGAGTGGAATCTGCTCGTACCACCTGAAGACGGCCTCCCTCCACCTGCTCGCGCAGAGGCCGGACACGCCGGAGGGCCTGCACGAGTGCCTGCACCAGCTGATGGACTTCCTCCTTGAGTGCATGCAGAAAAGGGAACTCAACCACTTTTTTACGGGGAATCCATCGAGCCTGGCGAGGAACGCGCAAGTGCCCAGCAGCATTACCCACAGAGAGTGCTGCCTCAATCTCTTCGGTAGCACATTTATGAATTGGAGCACCCTGAACCAGGCGAGGGAGAGACTCATCAGGATTAAACGATCTTTGCCTGCTGTAATCCAACAGCATTCTGGCCTGGCACCAGGGCGGTCGCCGCGATATAACGATATAGCGATATCACGATATAACGATGTCGCAATATCGCATCACGGCGATATCGTATTGCGGCGACAGCCGTCGTTTCAAAACCGGGAAAATGTCCGCGGTCCCCTGAGCCTCCACGTCCCCCCTCCTCAACCCCTCCAGGTGGGCAATCTGGGAGGGTTCAGCCAATCAGAGGCAAGGACTTTGGTGACGTCACAGAAAGCCGCCATGGTAACCGGGGACCCCCCGCGCGGGCAATTTGCTGCCACGTCAGAAGGAGGCGGCGGCGGCGGCCTTCGGCTGTACTCACATTGCTGTTGTTGTTTGTTGTTGTTTATTGTTGTTGTTTGTTGTTTTGGTTTACTCTGGATTCTGTCAACCGCTAATTCTGTCAGTACTGCGGGGGCCACTTTTTGGTGAGCAGGGCTCGACACGAACTTATACAGTACTCGCTTAGCTCGCATAGAAGACACTGACTCACATAGACACACTGACTCACATAGACACACTGACTCACATAGACACACTGACAGACACACTGACTCACGTAGACACACTCACTCACATAGACACACTTACTCATAGACACACACTCACATAGACACACTGACTCACACAGACACACTGACTTATAGACTCACAGACACTGACTCATAGACTGAATAACACGTAGGCACACTCACTGATAGAATCGCATATATTTCATTTTTTCATCAAGGATTTCAAAGGGCTGTACAGGATACAGCAGCAGCAGACACTCAGCATAAAAAGAATATTATACATACATTTTGAAATCTAATTTGCTAAATAAACTAAACGTTTAATAAGCTTAAGCGTATAAATAGGTTTTAAGATGCATTTTTTAAAACGTCCACAGACTCTAGAGAGAGATATCCCTTATGTCTCGTGGAAGAGCGTTCCACAATAGCCTGGGGGAGGCTACACGGGGACAAATCTGGGTCACCCATAGACATAAGCCTCGACTTGGGAATAGAGAGAACATCTGCATCACCCATCAGAGGTGGGGAACGTCCGGCCTGCGGGCCGTATAAGTCCCACGAAATAATTTGGTCTGGCCCTGCCAAGGCAACCGCACGACTCGAAATTCAATAAATCTAGGAGCTTTTTGCATAGCAACGTGAATTTGATTTTGTATGGCCCGCGAATGATGTTATAAATATTTAATGGCCCTTGGCAGAAAAAAGGTTCCCCACCCCTGAATTTTAATAGGAGGTTTGAGAACCCGACGACTCCACGCAGATAGGTACCCAAGTCAGTAACTGAACCCAGGTATTTTATTTTAATAATATAAATGCCCAACTTTATCTGTGATGAATATTATGAACGCTGCACTTCCTGTTATTTTCATGCAGGGGGCGCTGCAAACCTACGCGCCCCCTGCATGAACGACGGAGGCGCAGGGACAGACGTTCGATTACATAGGAATCGATCTGCAGACGGCGGTCTTCTCGCATGGCCATCAGCTCTATGTCGCCTTATCTCGATCTCGCAATCTCAAACAGGTGAAAGTCCTCATCGAACCGAACCCCCAGCAAGGCCATCTACTTAACGACGAGAGAAAATTCACACGAAATGTCGTTTTCAATTAAGTCTTCCAGACATGCATCCCAGTGTATGGAAGTTCGCTTGTAACACGACTTATAAACCCGTGCACGAATGCTATAGGTACGTTGTGTTAAATTTACTCGGCGAACACCGTAGTTTCTCTTGATTAGTCTTTTTTTTCGCAATTTATTTTAAGAATTTGTATTTTATAATTCAAAACTTTCAACTTTAAGTGATATATATGCATATGCTTTAAAAAAGAGGTTTGCAGCATGCTTAAGTGTACAGTTATTTTATTACATCTTGGGCCCGACATTTTCTCCGTTGGATCGCATCTCCAATTCGATCATCGAAGTCAATGGGAAAACAGGGCTCAGCACACGGAATGTCGCCTTGCGGACAGCTTTTTCAGGAACCTGTGTTCCGTATATCGAGGGCAAGGGAAGACAAGGCGGCGTCGTTGTCCCATGGTTGATTGAAGACAGTTTTTTTATCAGCTTTAGCGAGTGACAGTGGTGGCGGTAGTAACACAGGGCAGCAGCAGCACCAACTGTTGGAAAGTCCTCATCGTGCCAATTCGTTGCTCGTACAGCACACCGGTGTATAGGAGAGCAAAGCCACAACAGTTACAATGATTATAGATTGATTGTAAATGCCGGTGTGCTGTACTAGTAACGAATTGGCACGCTCTGTTTACGTGACAATTCTTACCATTTGGCTGCGTCGGGTGGTGGCGGGTTTAACGACACATTTATATATTTACGTGATATAACCCCAAAAAAACCTGTATTATGGAGTATGTCGCCTGTTTACCCAGCAAGCGAATTACACGGTTTTTTTTGCAGAAGGCAGACGATGTTCCTGCTGCGTGTGATTCCCAACTGAGTCATTTGCAGGGAATTGGACAATCAACACCAGGTTACGTTGTGTGAGTTTTAACCTAAACCTGAAAGCTGCATAACCTGGAGGGTGGAACGTCCGGCCCACGGGCCGTAAAAGGCCTGCAAAATCATTTGGTCTGGCCCTGCCAAGGCAACAGTACGACTCGAAATTCAATAAATCTAGGAGCTCTTTTCATAGCAAGGTAAATTTATTTTGCATGGCCCGCGAATGATGTTATAAATATCCAAATGGCCATTGGCAGAAAAAAGGTTCCCCACCCCTGAATTAAAAAGGGAGGGGTGAGAACACGCAGACTCCACGCAGAGAGGTACCCAGAGTCAGTAACTGAACCCGGGTATTTTATTTTAATAATATAAACGCCAACTTTATCTGTGATGAATATGATGAACGCTGCACTTCCTGTCGTTTTCATGCAGGGGGCGCTGCAAACCTACATGCTCCCCCTGCATGAACGACGGAGGCGCAGGGACAGACGTTCGATTATGTTAGAATCGATCTGCAGACGGCGGTCTTCTCTCAATCCCGCAATCCCAACCAGGTGAAAGTCCGCATCGAACCGAACACCTTGTAAGGCCATCTACTTAACAACGAGATCAAATTCACACAAAATGTCCTTTTCAATTAAGTCTTCCAGATGTAAAATGATATAAGCTTTTAATGAAGAAATAAAAAAAATATCTAATTCGAAGCATAATACAATTCAAAGATGTTTCATTTTTTTCCGTGAATGCATCGTTCGTGTGAAAAAAAAAATCGTGACTTTCCTTGCTGAAGGCCACCACGGGAGGGTATGGGCACATTATCATGGGGAGGAGTATTGAGGTGAAAGATGTGGATTTCAAAACACAAAGACAAAGATCCCCCGTGTCTCGGCCTCGCTGTGCGCTGCGTTGCACCGCTAGCTGAGTAGTTAACCTCGCATTCAATAAACCCTCAGAGTCAGGGTGAACATCCGACTCCAAACGTCATTTATTGAATTGAACGAGGTAAAACTGGTAAGAAAACAGCACAGGGACAGCATCTGTTAATACCTGGAAACACCAACACAATGAATGAACACCACAGCATCATAACATTATCTTAGATAACATGTTTCTTAACAATAGATCCTGGATAGACCAGGCACCTACATTACCACTGAATAGCTATACAAGAGCATAAGCTGCTGTGTTACATAAAGGCACGTCGTGTATTCATCACACTGCACCCCAAATGTACCGCACTACATATAACACTTAACTGTGGATGAGACATTTTGTCATCCTTGCTCTCAAGATCGCAATATAGTTAGTTGGGTACAAGTTTGACTCGACTTATTCGATTATTCGATTACAAGTAACATTCACAATAAGGCAAGTTGCAGGCTTCGTTGTTAACTAGGCCTCGTATTTATCATAACAATTTAACAGCATTATAAAGGCATTTACAACATTATAACAGCTTTCCCAGAATTATAAGAACATAAACAAACTTACAGACAATGCTTCTTAAAGTCCCACAATGGACAATTACAGCTGTCTTCACTGGGACGCGATTTGTGCCGCCATCTTAAATTCTGTGTAATGGCTGCCTCCAGCCTCGTGGCTGAAAGACTGTCAAATCGGAACTTCCTGGTCACGTGACCAAACTCAACCTCAAAACAGAAAATTCCTGTGTACGCACACACGCACTCCTCCCACGGAGCACAACACCTGCCGTGAGGCAGAACACCCTGTGTAGACTGTAACAGACTGTCGGGGCAAGTGCTGTTAGCGAGCAGCTATAAAGGCCGGAACATATGTGTGGCCAGCACCACACGCGGCCGCCTTTGTCTCCCCAGTGGCGATGTTTATACACCGCACCAGGTTACTCATTTGAGGCTGAGTCGACCTAGGGGAAGCCCCAGGACCGGTTCAGATAATCGTCACTGGTGTTGGTGGCCGTGAGCGGGAATCGAACTCGGGTTGCCGGGTTCAGTAGCGGAGTGGAGCGTTACCCGCTACACACAGACACAGAGACACACGGATTTGCAATACACAGACACACATGGAGTTGCAACACACAGACACAGATGGAGTTGCAACAGACACACAGAGACAGACACACGGAGTTGGAACACACATACAGAGACAGACACACGGAGTTGCATCACAGAGACACAGAGACACACGGAGTGACCTGCATTAGACCGTGCCTTGCAACGGGGTTATTCGGCGCACCTGCGCCTATGGGGCCATCCATAAATGACGTCACGCGATTTTGGATGATTTTTGACCCCCCCCCCCCTCAAATATGACATCACAAAGCTCTGCCTCCCCCCCGAAAAAAATATAAAACAAGCTTCAAATCGCTTTAAACTATTGTCATTGTAGTGTGTATTTAATGTGGCGCTGCACTCTGATGTTGTAGGAGAAAACATTTATCAAAAAGTATATTTAATTAAGCAGAAATTGTCTATATTTATTTAAAGTTGCGCATTTTGATGTGACGTCACACTTCTCAACCCCTCCCCCCTCGTCACACATCGTCACAAATGTCTGACCCCTCCCCCCCCGGAGGTGCGTGACGTCATTCACGGACGGCCCCTATGACTTCACCACGCGTTCACTGAACGTCAGTCACCCCCATCGCCGTTCACACGCAAACCCGTGGCTTTCACCCGATGGGCGCGTCGCGTTCTGCACGTCAAGTGACCGATTTCCGAGCAACAGTTGCTGACGTTACCTGTAAGTGACCCCGTCACGTGACGCAGCACGACGCGCCCGGGTTATAAAGCAGCGACGTACTGGGGGTCGCGTCACAGCCTCCACGTGGTTTCAGGTGCGACGACACGAGGTGAGTTGCTTCCCAGTCACCGACAGAATATCCAGCGGTGGATGTCTCTCGCTGTGCGTGTACGTGTCGACTCAGCCTCAAATGTGTACCTGGTGCGGTGTGTAGTAAACATCGCCACTGGGGAGACAAAGGCGGCCGGGCGTGGTGTTGGCCACCCACTTTTTCGTGTTGCCGTGCTGGCCTTCATAGCTGCTCGCTAACAGCACTTGCCCCGACAGTCTGTTAAGGCTACACGGTGGATCTTTGTCTTTGTGTGTGTTTAAGACTCCTGCCCTGCCACCACCGACATCAATCACCGAGTAAAACATCCTCCCGTGTGCCCCGACTGGAGAGACTGGACGACCGAGGTTTGTACTTATTTTATTATTATTTTTATTACACGCTTTTATTTAACTCACTCTGTTGTTGTCGTCCCTGTTGTCGTATTCTACCCACTTCCCAATGTGGTATCGACTGCAAACTTGGTATACTTATGTTATACTGATGACAATACTATATTCTATCATAAAACTATATTTTTTAACGATATTTTTACACGCTTTCTATTAACTCTGTCTGTTGTTGTCGTCGTTGTATCCTCAAATCTCTATTTTAACCCACTTCCCAATGTGGTATCGACTGCAAACTTGGTATACTTATGTCTTACTGATGACAATACTATATTATATCATAAAAAATTAAAAATAATCTTTTTAAACGATATTTCTACACGCTTTCTATTAACTCACTCTGTTGTTGTCGTGTCCTCAATTCTTGTAACTCAAGTTTAACCCACTTCTCAATGTGGTAATCGTGCAAACTTGGTATACTTAAGTCTTACTGATGACAATACTATATTCTATCATGAAAAAAAATAATTAAACATGATTTTTTGTATGTTATGTTTCCGCTTGGGTCTAATTGTCCACGCTCATCTGACGTTGGCTGTAAATCACCACGGAAACCTTACGTTATGCCAAGCCTCGGGGCCACTTCCTGGAGTCGTGGAGTTCTGCCATTACTCGTACGGTGCATTTCATTAAAGCGTATTTTTAAAACAAGTATTTTTAAATATTACTTTAATAAATGTTTTCTCCTACAACAGAATGCAGCGGCACATTAAATACGCACTACAATTAAAATTGTTTAAAACTATTATAAGCATATTCTTGGTTCTCTCGGTAAATGCACATAGAAGGGAAATTAAACAAAGATATTTTTGTAATTATTTTTTTATTTCCCTAATACGTGACTTTACCGAAAGAACCAAGAATATGCTTAAAATCGAAGTGAAATGAAAAAAATATTTTTAAAAATATTATTTTATTATTTTCCTTCTACGTGACTTTACCGAAAGAACCAAGAATATGAATCCCTGCAGTCACGAAAGCTTTAAGTCAAGATTTTAAGCATGTTTTTTTTGGGGGGGGGGGGGGGGCAGAGCTTTGTGACGTCATATTTGAGGGGGGGGGTCTGACTTTTTGTGACGCCGTGTGACGAGGGGGGGGGGGTCAAAAATCGTATAAAATCGCGTAACGTCATTTATGGATGGCCCCTAAGGACACGTTCATCCATTGACCAGGGGGCAGATTTGCCATGCTCTGCAGTGGGTGCGTGGGGTTTAGGGCGGTATTCGTTTTTGAACAAGTGCCAGTGGACATTCCACATTCCTGCGATGGGGTCCATCCCGTTTTTCCAACAACAGATGCTGCCTAAAATGTGCAACTAAAACGTGCGAGGATGAGATGCAATGCCTCATATATGACGCTCATTGGTTATACAGTCGTGGAGTTTGTGTAACTGCTTATCACTGCTCAACCCCAGCTATTCGTGCTTTGATATTTGCATTGGCCTTGGGAGTTTTCGCCTTTGACGTTGTTCTCTGGCCTCACGCTGGTGATGAGACAAAGGCCACGAAGAAGGCTGCCTCTGGTGTAAGCCATTCAGTTTCAAAGTCAGTGCGTTGGTTATTATCAGAGCATGTTTGTTTGCATGTTTTTGCCACGAGCACGTGCGGTCAATGCGGACTTTATGATGCCTTGCAATCGGTGTGTCGAGCTGGTGGGTTTGCTCCAAGTTTTGCGGTTTCCTCCCACGGCGAAAACAAACAAAAAAGGCCGCATGCAATGTACCTGGTATTGACTTAAAGCTTTCGTGACTGCAGGAATTCATATTCAATGAGTCTTTCGGTAAAGTCACGTAAAACAAAAAAATATATATTTTTAAAAATATCTTTTTTTTGTTCTACGTATTGTTTCAGCATCCCAATGCCAAAACAAAATTACCTGCAGATTACTCAATTAAGATTACACACAGCAGCAACTACACACCCTACTGTAAAAAAAGATGGCAGGACCCTCCTGAAATCATGTCGTGAGGCTTTTTCCCTGAGTAGACAAGCACGATGATATGAAATGTTTCGTGGCAGTAAACTTCACCAAAAGTAAAAGTCCGCTATGATTTTAACGTTCCTTGTGTTTGCAGTGAACTCCAATGATGGCGTCCAGCATTGAACTCGATCGGTTCTACAGCGAAGAGGTTGAGTTTCCACCTCGGCTGCTCGCTTCGTACATCAACACTGCCAAAAGCGAGGTTGATACACTCCTGGCGGGGATGAGAAGCATTCAGCGGCCAAACATAGATCCCTCGATTCAATATCACATCGTTCCAACCGGCAGCTCATACGAAGGACTCAAGGTGAGGGGGGATATGGAGCTGGATTTTATGATCATTCTCTCTCACCCGGAATTCAAGTTTATCCCCATCACCTCATATTACAATGGCTATCGTAAAATAAAAGCTGAACAGCGACAACCACAATTTCAACTGCAAGCTGCAACAAGTTGGGGATCATCAAGTCCCTCTCACTCATTTGAAAAGAACTTTACCAGCAATGGATACCTGACACCATTAAAAATATATCAGTGGTTTCAGTCATTAGCAGACAGAGCAGTCAATCATAACAAGTCTAAATTTGTTAAAAAGCTTGTAGGCAACTTTCCAGCCCGTACACTCATTTTAAACATTTCGCCCGATGTTGAAATCTGCGTGGACCTGGTCCCAGCGATCTACATTGGCAAACGTCTCTTCGTGGTGGCCAAACCCTTGAAGACATCCCCAAACCTGCTCCTCTGGAGGCTGTCGTTCTCGGTCTTCGAGAAAAAGATCCTCCGCCAGCTTCTAAGCTCCTCCTGCCACCTGAAGGCCCTGAAGATCCTCAAGTACCTGAGGGAGCACGACACTCGGCTGGAGGAGACGTCTCAGTTCGCGAGTGGAATCTGTTCGTACCACCTGAAGACGGCCTCCCTCCACCTGCTCGCGCAGAGGCCGGACACGCCGGAGGGCCTGCACGAGCACCTGCACCAGCTGATGGACTTCCTCATTAAGTGCATGCAGAAAAGGGAACTCAACCACTTCTTTATGGGGAATCCATCGAGCCTGGTGAGGGACGTGCAAGTGCCCAACAGCATTACCCAAGGAGAGTGCCACCTCAATCTCTTCGGGGACACATTTATGAATCGGAGCACCCTGAGCCAGGCGAGGGAGAGACTCATCAGGATTAAACGCTCTCTGCCTGCCGTAATCCAACAGCATGCTGGCCCTGGTGCCATAATTGTGGCACCAGTATATCACTATAACGAGATATTGCATCACGACGATTTCGTATCGCGGCGACCGCCGTCGTTTCAAAACTGGTCAAATGTCCGCGGGCAATTTGCTACCGCGTCAGAAGGAGATGGCGGCAGCGGCCTTTGGCTGTACTCGCACCGCTGTTGTTGTTTGGTTGTTTGTTGTTGTTGTTTGGTTGGTTGTTTTTGTTTTGGTTTACTGTGGATTCTGTCAACCGCTCCTTCTGTCCCCACTGTGGAAGCCTCGACTTGGGAATAAAGAGAACATCTGCATCCCCCATCAGGGGTGGGGAACGTCCGGCCCGCGGGCCGTATAAGTCCCACGAAATAATTTGGTCTGGCCCTGCCAAGGCAACCGCACGACTCGAAATTCAATAAAATTCAATAAGTCTAGGAGCTTTTTGCATAGCAACGTGAATTTGATTTTGTGTGGCCCGCGAATGATGTTATAAATATTTAATGGCACTTGGCAGAAAAAAAGGTTCCACACCCCTGAATTTTAATAGGTACCCAGAGTCAGTAACTGAACCCGGGTATTTTATTTTAATAATATAAACGCCCAACTTTATCTGTGATGAATATGATGAACGCTGCACTTCCTGTCGTTTTCATGCAGGGGGCGCTGCAAACCTACGCGCTCCCCCTGCATGAACGACGGAGGCACAGGGACAGACGTTCGATTACGTTGGAATTGATCTGCAGACGGCAGTCTTCTCGCATGGCCAGCAGCTCTATGTCGCCTTATCTTGATCTCGCAATCCCAAACAGGTGAAAGTCCGCATCGAACCGAACCCCCAGCAAGGCCATCTACTTAACGATGAGATCAAATTCACACGAAATGTCCTTTTCAATGAAGTCTTCCAGATATAAAATGATATAAGCTTTTAATGAATAATTAAAAAAGTATCTAATTCAAAGCGTAATACAATTCAAAGATGTTTCATTTTAAAACTTCAAAACGGAGCATTGGGTGCTTGCGTGAATGCGTCGTTCATGTGAAAACATTTTCGTGACTTTCCTGGCCGACGGCCGTAAATGGTTGTGAGGAGTCCCGCAGGCGCCCCCGGACAAACCCGAGTTTTATAAACTTGGTAGTGAGTCAACATTCTTATATACTTGGGGGCCGTCCATAAATGACGTCACGCACCTGAGGGGGGAGGGGGGTTGAGAAATGTGACGTCACATCAGAATGCGCAACTTTAAATAAATATAGACAACACGTTCTACTTAATAAAATATACTTTTTGATAAATATTTTCTCCTACAACATCAGAGTGCCGCGCCACATTAAATACGCACTACAATGACAATAGTTTAAAGCGATTTGAAGCATGTTTTGTGACATCATATTTGAGGGGGGGTCTGACTTTTTGTGATGCCGTGTGACGAAGGGAGGCGGGGGGTTCTAAAATCGTCCAAAATTGCGTGACGTCATTTATGGACGGCCCCTTGGTTGTGAGTCAACATTGTTATAAACTTGGTAGTGAGTCGACATTGTTATATACTTGTGTAATAAAAACAGTTCGAAGACAAAGGAATGTGTCTCCGTCTCTTTATTTCTTCGATCACTCCGTGGCACGTCGCAGATCTGACGTACCGCTCCCGTGCACCGCTGGCAGATGGCGCGCTGGGAGCCGTCTCTGCGTCGCCACGTGGCCGATGGCTCGCGGAGACTCCCGACGTGGCCCAGCTTCCAGCTCTCACCAACTGACCCCGAGCCCCTTCCGGCTCCCCCTTATATCCCCCTTCCACGTCACCCAGACTCCGCCCTTCGCCACACCCCTTAAGAACCTTCCAGATAATACCCCCCCCTTAATGCCACCCGGCTCCGCCCTTAGACCCTGCCCCCGATGCTTTGTGTCACCTGATTGGCTTAGGGGCTGGGGCAGCAAAACCCCACATACGCTCTCATTACATCACACCCCCCCCCCCCCCCCCCCCCCCGGTGTAAAAGACTAGCCGTCCCGGCTAAATCAAGACGAGACAACAATGCGAGCAACAGTAACACCATAACAGACAATCGGAATAAAGAACAATATACAACAATAAAAACGGTAGCAATAACGGAAGGGAAGGGACTTGGATCTGGTACGGGACGCCGACCCATCCTTCTCGAGAATAGGGGCCCTCGCTGACTGCAATCCCGGCGGGGTTGGAAGAGCCGTGGGATCGAAATCCCTCGCCGCTGGTGGAGGCCCGTTCGGTGCAGGATCCCTTGCGTCAGGTTGGCTCAAGGTCGCCGAGCCTGTGGGAGGCACAACAGGCGCCTTCAGAGGTTGAACAGGCAAGGGGAACGGCACGCCGGACACATCAGACACCGATAAGGAAACTTTAGGGGATAACGAACCGACGCGAGGGGCAAAGAAGGTCTTCAACCGGGAAGTGTGGACATATCAACGGCGCGACCCCACCCGGTGTTGGTGGCCGTGAGTGGGAATCGAACTCGGGTTGCCGGGTTCAGTAGCGCTACCCGCTACACACAGACAGAGACACACGGATTTGCAACACTCAGACACACATGGAGTTGCAACAGACACACAGACACAGAGCCACGCGGAGTTGCAACACACAGACAAAGACACACACGGAGTTGGAACACACAGACACAGAGACACACGGAGTGATCTGCATTAGACCATGCCTTGCAACGGGGTTATTCGGCACAGCTGCGCCTATGGGGCCTTCCATAAACGACGTCATGCGATTTTGGACGATTTTTGACCCCCTCAAATATTACGTCACAAAGCTCTGCCCACCCCCCCCCAAAAAAATATATGAAACAAGCTGCAAATCGCTTTATACTATTGTCATTGTAGCGCGTATTTAATGTGCCGCTGCACTCTGATGTAGGATAATTTTTTTATTAAAAAGTCTATTTAAGTAGTACGTGTTGTCTATATTTATTTATTTAAAGTCGCGCATTTTGATGTGACGTCACATTTCTCAACCCCTCCCCCCTCGTCACACATCGTCACAAATGTCTGACCCCTCCCCCCCCGGAAGTGCGTGACGTCATTCACGGACGGCCCCTATGACTTCACCACGCGTTCACTGAACGTGAACGTCAGTCACCCCCCATCGCCGTTCACACGCAAACACGTGGCTTTCACCCAATGGGCGCGTCGCGTTCTGCACGTCAAGTGACCGAATTCCGAGCAACAGTTGCTGACGTTGCCTGGAAGTGACCCCGTCACGTGACGCAGCACGACGTGGCCGGGTTATAAAGCAGCGACGTCCTGGGGGGCGCGTCACAGCCTCCACGTGGTTTCAGGTGCGGCGACACGAGGTGAGTTGCTTCCCAGTCACCGACAGAATATCCAGCGGTGGATGTCTCTCGCTGTGCGTGTACGTGTCGACTCAGCCTCAAATGTGTACCTGGTGCGGTGTGTAGTAAACATCGCCACTGGGGAGACAAAGGCGGCCGGGCGTGGTGTTGGCCACCTACTTTTTCGTGTTGTCGTGCCGGCCTTCATAGGTGCTCGCTAACAGCACTTGCCCCTACAGTATGTTAAGGCTACACGGGGGATCTTTGTCTTTGTGTGTGCTTAAGACGCCTGTGCTTCCAAAACCGACATCAAACGCCGAGTAAAACATACTCCCGTGTGCCCCGACTGGACAGACTGGACGACCAAGGTTTTTACTTCTTTTATTATTTTTATTACACGCTTTTATTTAACTCACTCTGTCTGTTGTTGTATCCTCAAATCTCAATTTTTTTACCCACTTCAAATGTGGTTTCGACTGAAAATTTCGTATACTTATGTCATACTGATAATACTATATTCTATCATGAAAAATAAATAATATATTTTTAAACGATCTTTTTACACGCTTTCTATTAACTCACTCTGTTGTTGTCGTATCCCCATATCTTGTAACTCAATGTTTTACCCACTTCCCAATGTGGTATCGACTGCAAACTTGATGACAATACCATATTTTTAAACATTCTTTTTTCTATGTTATGTTTCGGCTTGGGTCTAATTGTCCACGCTCAACTGACGCTGGCTGTAAATCACCACTGCAACCTTACTTTATGCCAAGCCGTGGAGTTCTGCCATTACTCGTACGGTACATTTCATTAAAGCGTGTTTTTAAAACAAGTATTTTTAAATATTACTTACAATAAATGTTTTCTCCTACAACAGAAATACGCACTACAATTAAAATTGTTTAAAAGATTTTAAGCATATTTTTGGTTCTCTCGGTAAAGGCACATAGAAGGGAAATTAAACAAAGATATTTTACCGAAAGAACCAAGAATATGAATCCCAGCAGTCACGAAAGCTTTAAATCAAGATTTTAAGCAGGTTTTATTTGGGGGGGGGGGGCAGAGCTTTGTGACGTCATATTTGAGGCGGGGTCTGACTTTTTGTGACGCCGCCTGACGAGCGGGGGGGGGGGGGTCAAAAATCGTCAAAAATCGCGTAACGTCATTTATGGACGGCCCCTAAGGACACGTTCATCCATTGACCAGGGGGCAGACCTGCCATGCTCTGCAGTGGGTGCGTGGGGTTTAGGGCGGTGTTCGTCGTTGAACAAGTGCCAGTGGACATTCCACATTCCTGCGATTGGGTCCATCCCGTCTTTCCAACAACAGATGCTGCCTAAAATGTGCAACTAAAACGTGCGAGGATGAGATTCAATGCCTCATATATATTACGCTCATCGGTTATACAGTCATGGGGTTTGTGTAACTGCTTATCATTGCTAAACCCCAGCTATTCGTGCTTTGATATTTGCATTGGCCTTGGAGTTTTCGCCCTTTGACGTTGTTCTCTGGTCTCACGCTGGTGGTGAGACCAAGGCCATAAAGAAGGCCGCCTCTGGTGTAGGCCATTCAGTTTCAAAGACAATGCGTGGGTTATTATCAGAGCATGTTAGTTTGCATGTTTTTGCTACGAGCACGTGCGGTCAATGTGGACTTGATGATGCCTTGCAATCGGTGTGTCGAGCTGGTGGGTTTGCTCCAAGTTTTCCGGTTTCCTCCCACGGCGAAAACAAACAAAAAAGGCCGCATGCAATGTACCTCGTATTGACTTAAAGCTTTCGTGATTGCAGGAATTCATATTCAAGGGGTCTTTCGGTAAAGTCACGCAGAACTAAACATTGTTTTTTATAAATATATATATTTTTTGTTCTCAAAAATTTTTTTTTTTAACAAATTTGTTTTTTTATCTAAGTATTGTTTCAGCATCCCAATGCAAAACAAAATTGCCTGCAGATTACTCAATTAAGATTACACACAGCAGCAACTACACACCCTACTGTAAAAAAAAGATGGCAGGACGCTCCTGAAATAATGTCGTGAGGCTTTTCCCCTGGGTAGACAAGCACGATGATATGAAATGCTTCGTGGCAGTAAACATCACGAAAGGTAAAAGTCCGCTGTGATTTGAACGTTGCTTGTGTTTGCAGTGAACTCCAATGATGGCGTCCAGCATTGAACTCGATCGGTTCTACAGCGAAGAGGTTGAGTTTCCACCTCGGCTGCTCACTTCGCACATCAAAACTGCCGAAAGCGAGGTTGGTACACTACTTGACGGGATGGGAAGCATTCTGCGGCCAGACATAGATCCCTTGATTGAAGACATCGTTTATACCGGCAGCTCCTACGAAGGACTCAAGGTGAAGGGGAAAATGGAGCTGGATGTTATGATCGTTATCTCTCACCCGGAATTCAAGTTTATCCCCATGACCTCACATTACAGTGGCTATCGTAAAATAGAAGCTGAGCGACAACCACTTACTCAACTGCAAGCAACAGGTTTTTGGAAATCAGAAAGTCCCTTTCACTCATTTGAAAAGGACTTTACCAGCAATGGATACCTGATACCATCAAAAATATATCAGTGGTTCCAGTCATTAGCAGACAGAGCAGTCAAAGAAAACAAGTTAAATTTTTTTACAAAGTTTGTAGGCAACTATCCAGCCCGTACGCTCATTTTAAATATTAGCCCCGGTGTTGATATCTACGTGGACCTCGTCCCAGCGATCAAAATCGAGGGAGATCTCTACGCGGTGGCCAAACCCTTGAAGACATCCCCAGAACTGCACCTCTGGAGGCTGTCGTTCTCGGTCTTCGAGAAAAAGATCCTCAGGCAGCATCAAAGCTCCTTCCACCTGAATGCCCTGAAGATCCTCAAGTACCTGCGGGAGCACGACCCTCGGCTGGAGGAGACGTCTCAGTTCGCGAGTGGAATCTGCTCGTACCACCTGAAGACGGCCTCCCTCCACCTGCTCGCGCAGAGGCCGGACACGCCGGAGGGCCTGCACGAGTGCCTGCACCAGCTGATGGACTTCCTCCTTGAGTGCATGCAGAAAAGGGAACTCAACCACTTTTTTACGGGGAATCCATCGAGCCTGGCGAGGAACGCGCAAGTGCCCAGCAGCATTACCCACAGAGAGTGCTGCCTCAATCTCTTCGGTAGCACATTTATGAATTGGAGCACCCTGAACCAGGCGAGGGAGAGACTCATCAGGATTAAACGATCTTTGCCTGCTGTAATCCAACAGCATTCTGGCCTGGCACCAGGGCGGTCGCCGCGATATAACGATATAGCGATATCACGATATAACGATGTCGCAATATCGCATCACGGCGATATCGTATTGCGGCGACAGCCGTCGTTTCAAAACCGGGAAAATGTCCGCGGTCCCCTGAGCCTCCACGTCCCCCCTCCTCAACCCCTCCAGGTGGGCAATCTGGGAGGGTTCAGCCAATCAGAGGCAAGGACTTTGGTGACGTCACAGAAAGCCGCCATGGTAACCGGGGACCCCCCGCGCGGGCAATTTGCTGCCACGTCAGAAGGAGGCGGCGGCGGCGGCCTTCGGCTGTACTCACATTGCTGCTGTTGTTTGTTGTTGTTTATTGTTGTTGTTTGTTGTTTTGGTTTACTCTGGATTCTGTCAACCGCTAATTCTGTCAGTACTGCGGGGGCCACTTTTTGGTGAGCAGGGCTCGACACGAACTTATACAGTACTCGCTTAGCTCGCATAGAAGACACTGACTCACATAGACACACTGACTCACATAGACACACTGACTCACATAGACACACTGACAGACACACTGACTCACGTAGACACACTCACTCACATAGACACACTTACTCATAGACACACACTCACATAGACACACTGACTCACACAGACACACTGACTTATAGACTCACAGACACTGACTCATAGACTGAATAACACGTAGGCACACTCACTGATAGAATCGCATATATTTCATTTTTTCATCAAGGATTTCAAAGGGCTGTACAGGATACAGCAGCAGCAGACACTCAGCATAAAAAGAATATTATACATACATTTTGAAATCTAATTTGCTAAATAAACTAAACGTTTAATAAGCTTAAGCGTATAAATAGGTTTTAAGATGCATTTTTTAAAACGTCCACAGACTCTAGAGAGAGATATCCCTTATGTCTCGTGGAAGAGCGTTCCACAATAGCCTGGGGGAGGCTACACGGGGACAAATCTGGGTCACCCATAGACATAAGCCTCGACTTGGGAATAGAGAGAACATCTGCATCACCCATCAGAGGTGGGGAACGTCCGGCCTGCGGGCCGTATAAGTCCCACGAAATAATTTGGTCTGGCCCTGCCAAGGCAACCGCACGACTCGAAATTCAATAAATCTAGGAGCTTTTTGCATAGCAACGTGAATTTGATTTTGTATGGCCCGCGAATGATGTTATAAATATTTAATGGCCCTTGGCAGAAAAAAGGTTCCCCACCCCTGAATTTTAATAGGAGGTTTGAGAACCCGACGACTCCACGCAGATAGGTACCCAAGTCAGTAACTGAACCCAGGTATTTTATTTTAATAATATAAATGCCCAACTTTATCTGTGATGAATATTATGAACGCTGCACTTCCTGTTATTTTCATGCAGGGGGCGCTGCAAACCTACGCGCCCCCTGCATGAACGACGGAGGCGCAGGGACAGACGTTCGATTACATAGGAATCGATCTGCAGACGGCGGTCTTCTCGCATGGCCATCAGCTCTATGTCGCCTTATCTCGATCTCGCAATCTCAAACAGGTGAAAGTCCTCATCGAACCGAACCCCCAGCAAGGCCATCTACTTAACGACGAGAGAAAATTCACACGAAATGTCGTTTTCAATTAAGTCTTCCAGACATGCATCCCAGTGTATGGAAGTTCGCTTGTAACACGACTTATAAACCCGTGCACGAATGCTATAGGTACGTTGTGTTAAATTTACTCGGCGAACACCGTAGTTTCTCTTGATTAGTCTTTTTTTTCGCAATTTATTTTAAGAATTTGTATTTTATAATTAAAAACTTTCAACTTTAAGTGATATATATGCATATGCTTTAAAAAAGAGGTTTGCAGCATGCTTAAGTGTACAGTTATTTTATTACATCTTGGGCCCGACATTTTCTCCGTTGGATCGCATCTCCAATTCGATCATCGAAGTCAATGGGAAAACAGGGCTCAGCACACGGAATGTCGCCTTGCGGACAGCTTTTTCAGGAACCTGTGTTCCGTATATCGAGGGCAAGGGAAGACAAGGCGGCGTCGTTGTCCCATGGTTGATTGAAGACAGTTTTTTTTATCAGCTTTAGCGAGTGACAGCGGTGGCGGTAGTAACACAGGGCAGCAGCAGCACCAACTGTTGGAAAGTCCTCATCGTGCCAATTCGTTGCTCGTATAGCACATCGGTGTGTAGAAGAGCAAAGCCACAATAGTTACAATGATTGTAGATGGATTGTAAATGTCGGTGTGCTGTACTAGTAACGAATTGGCACGCTCTGTTTACGGGACAATTCTTACCATTTGGCTGCGTCTGGTGGTGTCGTGGTTTAACGACACATTTATATATTTTACGCGATATAACCCCAAAAAACCTGTATTATGGAGTATGTTGCCTGTTTACCCAGCAAGTGAACTACCACGGTTTTTTTTGCAGAAGGTAGGCGATGTTCCTGCTGCGTGCGATTCCCAACTGAGTCATTTGCAGGGAATTGGACAATCAACACCAGGTTACGTTGTGTGAGTTTTAACCTATACCTGAAAGCTGCATAACCTGGAGGGGGGAACGTCCGGCCCGCGGGCCGTAAAAGGCCCGGAAAATCATTCGTTCTGGCCCTGCCAAGGCAACCGCACGACTCGAAATTCAATAAATCTAGGAGCTTTTTTCAGAGCAACGTAAATTTAATTTTGTATGGTCCGCGAATGATGTTATAAATATACAAATGGCCCTTGGCAGAAAAAAGGTTCCCCACCCCTGAATTTTAAAGGGAGGGGTGAGCACACGAAGACTCCACGCAGATAGGCACCCCGAGTCGGGAACTGAACCCGGGTATTTTATTTTAATAATATAAACGCCAACTTTATCTGTGATGAATATGATGAACGCTGCACTTCCTGTCGTTTTCATGCAGGGGGCGCTGCAAACCTACGCGCTCCCCCTGCATGAACGATTACGTTAGAATCGATCTGCAGACAGCGGTCTTCTCGCATGGCCAGCAGCTCTATGTCGCCTTATCTCCACCCCTCAATCCCAACCAGGTGAAAGTCCGCATCGAACCGAACCCCTCGCAAGGCCATCTACTTAACCACGAGATAAAATTCAGACGAAATGTAATTTTCAATGAAGTCTTCCAGATGTAAAATGATATAAGCTTTTAATGAAGAAATTAAAAAAAATCTAATTCGAAACATAATACAATTGAAAGATGTTTCATTTTTTTGCGTGAATGCATCGTTCGTGTGAAAAAAAAAATCGTGACTTTCCTTGCTGAAGGCTACCACGGGAGTGTATGGGCACATTATCATGGGGAGGAGTATTGAGGTGAAAAAAGTGGATTTGCAACACAAAGACAAAGATCCCCCGTGTCTCGGACTCGCTGTGCGCTACGTTGCACCGCTAGCTGAGTAGTTAACCTCGCATCCAATAAACCCTCAGATCCAGGGTGAACATCCCACTCCAAACGTTATTTATTGAATTTAACGAGGTAAAACTGGTAAGAAAACAGCACAGATACAGCATCTGTTAATACCAGGAAACACCAACACAATGAATGAACACCACAGCATCATAACATTATCTTAGATAACATGTTTCTCAACAATAGATCCTGGATAGACCGGGCACCTACATTACCACTGAATAGCTATAAGAGCATAAGCTGCTGTGTTACATAAAGGCACGTCGTTTATTCATCACACTGCACCCCAAATGTACCGCACTACATATAACACTTAACTGTGGATGAGACATTTTGTCATCCTTGCTCTCAAGATCGCAATATAGTTACTTGGGTACAAGTTTGACTCGACGAATTCGATTACAAGTAACATTCACAATAAGGCAAGTTGCAGGCTTCGTTGTTAACTAGGCCTCATATTTATGATAACAATTTAACAGCATTATAAAGGCATTTACAGCATTATAACGGCCATTCTAACATAACAGCTTTCCAAGTATTATAAGAACATAAACAAACTTCTTAAAGTCCCACAATGGACGATTACAGCTGTCTTCACTGGGACGCGATTTGTGCCGCCATCTTGAATTCTTGTGTAATGGCTGCCTCCAGCCTCGTGGCTGAAAGACTGTCAAATCGGAACTTCCTGGTCATGTGACCAAACTCAACCTCAAAACAGGACATTCCTGTGTACGCACACCCCCACTCCTCCCACGGAGCACAACACCTGCCGTGAGGCAGAACACCCCGTGTAGCCTGTAACAGACTGTCTGGGCAAGTGCTGTTAGCGAGCAGCTATGAAGGCTGGACGTTTGTGTGGCCAGCACCACGCCCGGCCGGCTTTGTCTCCCCAGTGGCGATGTTCACACACCGCGCCAGGTTACTCATTTGAGGCTGAGTCGACCTAGGGGAAGCCCCAGGACCGATTCAGATAATCGTCACTGGTGTTGGTGGCCGTAAGCAGGAATCGAACTCGGGTTGCCGGGTTCAGTAGCGGAGCGGAGCATTACCCGCTACACACAGACACAGAGACACACGGATTTGCAATACACAGACACACATGGAGTTGCAACACACAGACACAGATGGAGTTGCAACAGACACACAGAGACAGACACACGGAGTTGGAACAGACACACAGAGACAGACACACGGAGTTGCGCCACACAGACACAGACAGACACAGAGTTGCACCACACAGACACACGGAGTTGCAACAACACACAGACACACAGAGACACACGGAGTGACCTGCATTAGACCGTACCTTGCAACGGGGTTAATCGGCACAGCTGCACCTATGGGGCCGTCCATAAATGACGTCACGCGATTTTGGACGATTTTTGACTCCCCCCCCCCCCCCCTCGTCACACGGCGTCACAAAAAGTCAGACCCCCCCTCAAATAGACGTCACAAAGCTCTGCCCCCCCCCCCCCCAAAAAATAAAACATGCTTCAAATCGCTATTAACTATCGTCATTGTAGTGCGTATTTAATGTGGCGCTGCACTCTGATGTTGTAGGAGAAAACATTTATAAAAAAGTCTATTTAAGTAGAACGTGTTGTCTATATTTATTTAGCTATTTTGATGTGACTTCACATTTCTCAAACCCCTCCCCCCTCGTCACACATCGTCACAAATGTCTGACCCCTCCCCCCCCGGAGGTGCGTGACGTCATTCACGGACGGCCCCTATGACTTCACCACGCGTTCACTGAACGTGAAAGTCAGTCACCCCCATCGCCGTTCACACGCAAACACGTGGCTTTCACCCAATGGGCGCGTCGCGTTCTGCACGTCAAGTGACAGATTTCCGAGCAACAGTTGCTGACGTTGCCTGGAAGTGACCCCGTCACGTGACGCAGCACGACGCGGCCTGGTTATAAAGCAGCGACGTCCTGGGGGTCGCGTCACAGCCTCCACGTGGTTTCAGGTGCGACGACACGAGGTGAGTTGCTTCCCAGTCACCGACAGAATATCCAGCGGTGGATGTCTCTCGCTGTGCGTGTACGTGTCGACTCAGCCTCAAATGTGTACCTGGTGCGGTGTGTAGTAAACATCGTCGCTGGGGAGACAAAGGCGGCCGGGCGTGGTGTTGGCCACCCACTTTTTAGTGTTGTCGTGCCGGCCTTCATAGGTGCTCGCTAACAGCACTTGCCCCTACAGTCTGTTAAGGCTACACGGGGGATCTTTGTGTATGTGTACGTGTCACTCGGACTCAAATGAGTACCTGGTGCGATCTGTAAACATCGTCACTAGGGAGACAAAGGCGGCCGGGCGTGGTGTTGGCCACCCACCCCCCTCGTGTTGCCGTGCCGGCCTTCATAGGTGCTCGCTAACAGCACTTGCCCCTACAGTCTGTTAAGGCTACACGGGGAATCTTTGTCTTTGTGTGTGTTTAAGACTCCTGCCCTGCCACCACCGACATCAATCACCGAGTAAAACATCCTCCCGTGTGCCCCGACTGGACAGACTGGACGACCGAGGTTGGTACTTTTATTAATATTTTTATTACACGCTTTTATATAACTCTGGCTGTTGTTGTTGTCGTACCCTCAAATCTCATTTATTTACTCACTTCCCAATGTGGTATCGACTGCAAACTTGGTATACTTATGTCTTACTGATGACAATACTATATTATATCATCAAAAATAAATACAAATATTTTTAAACGATATTTTTACACGCTTTCTATTAACTCACTCTGTTGTTGTCGTAGTTGTATCCTCAAATCTCAATTTTTACCCATTTCCCAATGTGGTATCGACTGCAAACTTGGTATACTTAAGTCATACTGATGACAATACCATATTCTATCATGAAAAATAAAAAACATTTTTTTACATTCTGTTTAGTATGTTATGTTTCGGCTTGGGTCTAATTGTCCACGCTCAACTGACGTTGGCTGTAAATCACCACGGAAACCTTACTTTATGCCAAGCTGTGGCGTTATGCCATTACTCGTACGGTACATTTCATTAAAGCGTGTTTTTAAAACAAGTATTTTTAAATTTTACTTTAATAAATGTTTTCTTCTACAACAGAAATACGCACTACAATAAAAAAAAAATAAACGATTTTAAGCATATTCTTGGTTCTCTCGGTAAAGGCACAATAGAAGGGAAATTAAACAAAGATATTTTTATTTTTTTATTTCCCTTATACGTGACTTTACCGAAAGAACCAAGAATACGAATCCCTGGAGTCACGAAAGCTTTACGTCAAGATTTTAAGCATGTTTTTTTTTTTGGGGGGGGGGGCAGAGCTTTGTGACGTCATATTTGAGGGGGGGGGTCTGACTTTTTGTGACGCCGTGTGACGAGGGGGGGGGGTCAAAAATCGTCAAAAATCGCGTAACGTCATTTATGGACGGCCCCTAAGGACACGTTCATCCATTGACCAGGGAGCAGATTTGCCATGCTCTGCAGTGGATGCGTGGGGTTTAGGGCGGTGTTCGTTGTTGAACAAGTGCCAGTGGACATTCCACATTCCTGCGATGGGGTCCATCCCGTCTTTCCAACAACAGATGCTGCCTAAAATGTACAACTAAAACGTGCGAGGATGAGATGCAATGCCTCATATATGACGCTCATTGGTTATGCAGTCGTGGGGTTTGTGTAACTGCTCATCAGTGCTAAACCCCAGCTATTCGTGCTTGCATATATTTGCATTGGCCTTGGAGTTTTCGCCCTTTGACGTTGTTCTCTGGTCTCACGCTGGTGGTGAGACAAAGGCCATGAAGAAGGCTTCCTCTGGTGTAGGCCATTCAGTTTCAAAGACAATGCGTGGGTTATTATCAGAGTACTAGCTTTACTACCCGGCTTCGCCCGGGTCTTGGATTCACCACGCCCGGCCGCCTTTGTCTTCCCAGTGGCGATGTTCACACACCACACCGGTTACTCGTTTGAGGCTGAGTCGCCCTAGGGGAGGCCCAGGAGCGGTTAAAATAATGCTCACCGGTGGTGGCCATGAGCGGGAATCGAATTTGGGTCGCCGGGTTCCGCTCCCCCCCCACACACACATACGCGCACGCGTCCATAGGTACACATACACGCGCTTGCAGCAGACACACAACTTTCAGGGTGCGTACGGCAGTAAACGACTGAAATAATAAAGCAATGCTTTGCGAACAACGCCTTAGACCTGGAAGACATTTGTATGGCACTGTACCCATGCCGCGGAGGGTTGGTGGGGGGTGGTGAGATGAGCAGGCACACTGCGTTACGCTTCCACATGCGCGGCTGACATGACAGAGATGTGACGTGACAGCTCACTTGCCGTGCAAAATATATGCATTATTGTGCTCCCCCCACCCCAAATAAAAATAAAAAGTCAGTTTTTTGAATTTTAGCATGGTGTACACTTATGAAGGTACCCACATGGCAAATTTGAAGTGTGTTGCATGTGGGGATGTACGTTAAACATTTGTAACAGACACACATTCACAAATTTCCTTTTTATCTATATAGATAACCCTGAGAGTCATGCGGCTCTTGACTGGGGTACAACCGCAACAAATAAAAAAAGAACACGAAACATCTTAAAGAGATTACCCGCAAGAGAAAATTGGAGGAAATAACAGCAGTCTTCCAGAAAAAAACAGCGTATTTCAACGCTGTGTGCAAAAATCCCAGTAGGATGCAAGTCAAAGAATAACAACCATAAGACAATTTAGATTAAAGTTATGAGGCTAAGTCTGTACTACAACAAACAAACATGGCTAATCCAACTGTCTAATTGCTATAATTTTATTATGTACCGACCCTATAATAGTAATTGCACACATTGTGGTGGGGGGGGAGTGAAGCGGACGTGAAACTTTGATGAATTTACCTCAGAGTTGCGTGGTGGGTGTCGAGGCCTAGCACCGTGCAGAGCCTCCGGCCTCGCCTGATTTTCCCACCCGGCTGACGTTGGGTACGGGTGGCGTTCCCCCCCCCCCCTCCCGCGCTACAATAATACTGTGTAATCGCTATAATTTTATAATCAACAGAGCCTATAATAGTAATTGCACACATTGTGGTGGGGGGGGAGTGAAGAGGACGTGAAACTTTGATGAATTTACGTCAGAGTCGCGTGTTAATGCGTGCGCCTATTTTTAACGGGAATAAAAAATATGGCGTCCACCCCGCTGCTGGGAAGGCGTGGCTACCCGTTGGCAGGGGCAACCGCCGTCCAATGAAAGCGGCGAAGGCATGGCTACCCGTTGCCAGGGGCAACCGCCGTCCAATGAAACTGCAGCCCGCGGCTAAGGCGTCGCTACCCGTTGGCAGAGGCAACCGCCGTCCAATGAAAGCGGCGAAGGCGTCGCTAGCCGTTGCCAGGGGCAACCGGCGTCCAATGAAAGTGCGTATGGTCCGGGGACACACACACACACAGACAGTCAGACAGACAGATTCGCGATTTTATATATATAGATGTTAGTTTGCATGTTTTTGCCACTAGCACGTGCGGTCAATACGGACTTGATGATGCCTTGCCATCGGTGTGTCGAGCTGGTGGGTTTGCTCCAAGTTTTCCGGTTTCCTCCCACGGCGAAAACAAACAAAAAAGGCCGCATGCAATGTACCTCGTATTGACTTAAAGCTTTCGTGACTGCAGGAATTCATATTCAAGGGGTCTTTCGGTAAAGTCACGCAGAACTAAACATTTTTGTTATAAATATATATCTTTTTTGTTCTAAAAAAAAACAATTTTGAACTTTTTTTATCTAAGTATTGTTTCAGCATCCCAATGCAAAACAAAATTGCCTGCAGATTACTCAATTAAGATTACACACAGCAGCAACTACACACTCTACTGTAAAAAAAGAAGGCAGGACCCTCCTGAAATAATGTCGTGAGGGTTTTTCCCTGGGTAGACAAGCACGATGATATGAAATGCTTCGTGGCAGTAAACATCACCAAAAGTAAAAGTCCGCTGTGATTATAACATTCTTTGTGTTTGCAGTGAACTCCAATGATGGCGTCCAACATTGAACTCGAACAGTTCTACAGCAGAGAGGTTGAATTTCCATCTCCGCTGCTTGCTTCGCACATCAAAACTGCTGAACGCGAGGTTCATACACTCCTGGCGGGGATGAGAAGCATTCTGCGGAAAAACATAGATCCCTCGATTGAAGAACTCATCGTTCAGACCGGCAGCTCGTACGAAGGACTCAAGGTGAAGGGGAAAATGGAGCTGGATTTTATGATCGTTCTCTTTCACCCGAAATTCATCTTTATCCCCGTCACCTCAGATTACAGCGGCTATTGTAAAATAAAATTTCAGCAGGAACAACTACAATCTGAAATGCAATCTTCAAAAAAATGGACATCATCAAGTCCCCCTCACTCATTTCAATATGACTTTACCAGCGATGGATACCTGATACCATCAGAAATATATAAGTGGTTTCAGTCATTAGCAGACAAAGCAGTCAATCAAAACAAGTCTAAATTTGTTAGAAAGTTTGTAGGCAACTTGCCAGCCCGTACACTCATTTTAAACATTAGCCCCGGTGTTGATATCTGCGTGGACCTGGTCCCAGCGATCTGCATTGACAGAGATCTCTACGTGGTGGCCAAACCCTTGAAGACATCCCCAGACCCACATCTCTGGAGGCTGTCGTTATCGGTCTTCGAGAAAAAGATCCTCAGCCAGCATCAAAGCTCCTGCCACCTGAAGGCCCTGAAGATCCTCAAGTACCTGCGGGAGCACGACACTCGGCTGGAGGAGACGTCGCAGTTCGCGAGTGGAATCTGCTCGTACCACCTGAAGACGGCCTCCCTCCACCAGCTCGCGCAGAGGCCGGACACACCAGAGGGCCTGCTCGAGCACCTGCACCAGCTGATGGACTTCCTCATTGAGTGCATGCAGAGAAGGGAACTCAACCACTTCTTTATCGGGAATCCATCGAGCCTGGCGGAGAAAGCGAAAGTGCCCAGCAACATTACCCACGGAGAGCGCTGCCTCAATCTTTTCGATGACAAATTTGTGAAAGAGAGCACCCTGAACCAGGCAAGGGAGAGACTCGTCAAGATTAAAGGATCTCTGCCTGCCATAATCCAACAGCATTCTGGCCCTGTTGCTTATAGCTGTAATATTTATTAAGAGCTCCACCTGTGACGGGTCTAAGAAGTGTCAGGTTTTCGCAGCCATAATTACAATTCATTATTCATTTTCGGGTTAGGCTACGTGATGATGTGACCGATTTTTTGTTGTTGTTAAGACCCTCCACCACCCGACACGGCCAAGCATTACATTGTCACGTGGTGCACAAGTGTTCAATGTATATTCTTGGTTCTTTCGGTAAAGTAATGTAGAGGGGAAATAATAAAATAATAAAAATCAAACGATTAAATTCTCACGACGTTTCGATTGCAACACAAGCAATCATCATCAGGTGTGAAAACCACAGCAAAAAAAACCGCCACTTTTTTCAAAAAATGTCTTGCTGTGGTTTTCACACCTGATGATGATTACTTGTGTTGCAATCGAAACTTCGTGAGAATTGTTTAATTTTTATTATTTTATTGTTTCCCTTCTTCGTGACTTTACTGAAAGAAACAAGAATATGAATCCCTGCAGTCACGAAAGCTTTAAATTCTTCAATGTATGTTTGTTGAACTTCTTTCGCAGCTTCCGTCACCAAAAAAGCAGTTCTAAAGAAGTGAGTTTTCAATTTCGATTTGAAAGTGCACAGCTGCAGTGGCCTCCTAACATCGGAAGGAAGAGCGTTCCAGACGGCCGCAGAAGCACGCCTGAAAGCGCCGCGCGTTGCGCTGACCACCGTCTCTGTTCGACCGTTGGCCAAACGCCGCCAGCTACGAGGAATGACTGGAGTTCGCGTGATGACGGTTTTCGCTTCTTGTGCGAGATGAGCCCCCAAGGTGTTGCGTTTGATTCGTGACAAGCGCCGTGCGTGTGTGTGATGAGTGCGATCTGAACGACGCGCCGATTGTTGCGATCGTTTCCGCACCCGCCGCCGTGGACAATCGTCTTGGCCCCATCTGGCAACGGCGAGGTTAGATTCGGGGTCGACGTTTCGCTTGAAACTGCGTCAAGCATCTTAAGGCCCAAAATGCGGGGCGGTCATAATACTCCTAATAAATATCCAGACATTTTCAGACGAAACGTCATCTCCCAAACAGTTTTTTGTGCATTTTCTAAACATCTATTCAAGTTAAAGGAGTCCTGAACCATCATTAGACCTCCTTTGCCAGTACCAAAATATAATAATAGGGGTTTTCCCCTTTTTTATGGCAACAAAACTGAAACCTTTTTTACGAGGATTCATGTCTGCATTAACCACAATACTTGCAGTCGAAATGCAAACAAAAACACATTATGATAATACATGCATTGTCCTTGAAACTGATTGGTCCACACCAAGGGACGGCTTTCTATCGACCCAATTGGTGCTCGACCAGTCATCAACATAGCACATTTCTGTGGTGGAGGCTACAAATCGACAATGAGTGTTCCTTGGGCCAGCATTTGAATCGGCTAGCTTTGTAATTTCGAGCCAAGCAACGATTTTTTACGTCGCTCGTCTCTGACGAAACCTTTAATATAAGTCGCAGCGTAGTTTTGTGGTGTGGAATTTTCATGAACCCGGGGGGAGTGTCGCAAGCGTAAGGTTGATTGAAACCTTGAGAATCAACTTGAAATTTCGTTGAGTTGGCAAATGATTGTGGGTTTGTGGGCGTTTTGGATCAATCGAATAAAAAAAACTTTTTCTGAAGATAATGTCTCCTTCGAGTGTGTGATGTTAACGCGATTTTGACGTTCAGCCAATTCATTTAAACCGCCTCGACAGATGACCATTTTATTTTTTATCGTGAATATTTTAAATGTACACCATGCTTCACATCGCCAAAACGAACATCGTGTGGAGTGGCACACAATCCCCCAATTAAGCTTAGGGGCCGTCCATAAATGACGTCACGCACCTGTGGGGGGGGGGGGGGTCAGACATTTGTGACGATGTGTGACGACAGGGAGGGGGGGTGAGAAATGTGACGTCACATCAAAATGCGCAACTTTAAATAAATATAGACAACACGTTCTACTTAATTAAATAGACTTTTTGATTAATGTTTTCTCCTACAACATCAGAGTGCAGCGCCACGTTGAATACGCACTACAATGACAATAGTTTAAAGCGATTTGAAGCATGTTTTTTTTTGGGGGGGGGGGCAGAGCTTTGTGACGTCATATTTGAGGGGGGGGGTCTGAGTTTTTGTGACGTCGTGTGACGAAGGGGGGTAAAACATCTTCAAAAATCGCGTGACGTCATTTATGGACGGCCCCTTATTGGCAGCTTGCAAATGCGTTGAAACGCAACAACCACAAAAAAAAACATCGTAAAAAATTAACCCGTAAAAACAAAGTTTTTCACTCTAAATCCTTTATATGCGTGGCGGCTAGAGTCCTCTCGTCCTCTGGCTTGAGATGGCTGCCACCTATGGGTCAGATGATTGTCTGCAGTATTAAACAATTGGTAATTAAATATTTAATTTGTTTTCCATAAACAGTTTAAAATTTTGGAGAAAAAAATTCACGAACATTAATTGTCACGCACAACGAGTCTGTGTGCAAAATGTCAGCTCGATTGGATCACGGGAAGTGGGTTAAAAAACGACCGAAAGATTTGCACGGTCGTAAGCGCGCAAGCAAGCAAGTGAACTTAATATAAAGGATTTAAAAATGAACAGCGCTCATCAAATAGAACAACCCGGGATATTTTAGTGAAACGATTATCGTGGCCTCGTATCGTGACAGGGCGCCATATCGCCGTATCGCGATATCGCTGTATCGCGATACGATATCGCGATATCGCTATGACGCGATATCGCTATGACGTGATATCGCGATATCGTATCGCGATATCGTATCGCGGCGACCGCCGTCGTTTCAAAACCGGGCAAATGTCCGCGGTCCCCTGAGTCTCCACGCCCCCCCCTCCTCTCCAACTGGGCAATCTGGAAGGGTTCAGCCAATCAGAGGCTAGGATTTTGATGACGTCGTAGGAAGTCGCCTTGGTAACCGGGGACCACCCGCGCGGGCAATTTGCTACCGCGTCAGAAGGAGACGGCGGTGGCGGCGGCCTTTGGCTGTACTCACGCTGCTGTTGTTGTTTGTTGTTGTTTATTGTTGTTTGGTTGTTGTTGTTTTGGTTTACGCCGGATTCTGTCAGCCGCTGCTTCTGTCCGCATTGCGGGGGCCACTTTTGGGTGAGCAGGGCTCGGCACGAACTTATACAGCACTCGCTTAGCTCGCATAGAAGACACTGACTTGTACTGTACACGAATCGACTCACTGACTCACAGTCACACTGATTCACAGAGACACACTGACTCACACAGACACACTGACTCACACAGACTCACTGACTCACATAGACACACTGACTCACACAGACACACTGACTCACACAGACACACTGACTCACACAGACTCACTGACTCACATAGACACACTGACTCACACAGACACACTGACTCACACAGACACACTGACTCACATAGACACACTGACTCACACAGACACACTGATTCACACAGACACACTGACTCACACAGACACACTGACTCACACAGACTCACTGACTCACATAGACACACTGACTCACACAGACACACTGACTCACACAGACACACTGACTCACACAGACTCACTGACTCACATAGACACACTGACTCACACAGACACACTGACTCACATAGACACACTGACTCACATAGACACACTGACTCACACAGACACACTGACTCACACTGACTCACACCACACTGACTCACACTGACTCACACCACACTGACTCACACAGCACTGACTCACACAGACACACTGACTCACACTGACTCACATAGACACACTGACTCACACAGACACACTGACTCACATAGACACACTGACTCACACAGACATACACACTGACTCACATAGACACACTGACTCACATAGACATACTGACTCACACAATCACACTGACTCACATAGACACACTGACTCACACAGACACACTCACACAGACACGCTGACTCACACAGACACACTGACATAGACACACTGACATAGACACACTGACACACATAGACACACTGACATAGACACACTGACTCACATAGACACACTGACTCACACAGACACACTGACTCACACAGACACACTGACTCACATAGACACACTGACTCACACAGACACACTGACTCACATAGACACACTGACTCACACAGACACACTGACTCACACAGACACACTCACATAGACACACAGACACACTGACTCACATAGACACACTGACTCACACAGACACACTGACTCACACAGACACACTGACTCACACAGACACACCGACTCACACAGACACACTCACACAGACACACTGACTCACACAGACACACTGACTCACACAGACACACTGACTCACACAGACACACTGACATAGACACACTGACATAGACACACTGACTCACATAGACACACTGACTCACATAGACACACTGACTCACATAGACACACTGACTCACACAGATACACTGAGTCACACAGACACAATCACACAGACACGCTGACTCACACAGACACAATCACACAGACACAATCACATAGACACACTCACATAGACACACTCACATAGACACACTGACTCACACAGACAGACACACTGACTCACATAGACACACTGACTCACATAGACATACTGACTCACACAGACACACTGACTCACATAGACACACTGACTCACACAGACACACTCACACAGACACGCTGACTCACACAGACACAATGACATAGACACACTGACATAGACACACTGACACACATAGACACACTGACATAGACACACTGACTCACACAGACACACTGACATAGACACACTGACATAGACACACTGACTCACATAGACACACTGACTCACATAGACGCACTGACTCACATAGACACACTGACTCACACAGATACACTGACTCACACAGACACAATCACACATACACGCTGACTCACACAGACACAATCACACAGACACAATCACATAGACACACTCACATAGACACACTCACATAGACACACTGACTCACACAGACAGACACACTGACTCACATAGACACACTGACTCACATAGACATACTGACTCACACAGACACACTGACTCACATAGACACACTGACTCACACAGACACACTCACACAGACACGCTGACTCACACAGACACACTGACATAGACACACTGACATAGACACACTGACACACATAGACACACTGACATAGACACACTGACTCACATAGACACACTTGACTCACACAGACGCACTGACTCACATAGACACACTGACTCACACAGACACACTGACTCACATAGACACACTGACTCACACAGACACACTCACATAGACACACAGACACACTGACTCACATAGACACACTGACTCACACAGACACACTGACTCACACAGACACACCGACTCACACAGACACACTCATACAGACACACTGACTCACATAGACACACTGACTCACACAGACACACTGACTCACACAGACACACTGACTCACACAGACACACTGACTCACACAGACACACTGACTCACACAGACACAATCACACATACACGCTGACTCACACAGACACAATCACACAGACACAATCACATAGACACACTCACATAGACACACTCACATAGACACACTGACTCACACAGACACACTGACTCACATAGACACACTGACTCACATAGACATACTGACTCACACAGACACACTGACTCACATAGACACACTGACTCACACAGACACACTCACACAGACACACTGACTCACACAGTCACACTGACTCACACAGACACACTCACACAGACACACTGACTCACATAGATGATGGTCATCATCAGGCAATGATGACGACCGCTTGTGTTGAGATCGAAACGTCGTAATTTATTTCATTTCTAACTACGTGACTTTACCGAAAGAACCAAAGAATGGGATTTCAAACTGATATTCTCGTGTGAATCCGGAAGCCGGGGGGGAGGTGGGGGCTCATGACGAAGGGGAGGGGCCTACGGAAGAAGGGGCGGGGCTTAAAAAGGAAAGGCGCGAGAGATGAAAGGCAGAAGCGGTTGGGGGGTGTGTCAAATTCAAGTTCAAGTATTAGGTGTAGCCCTGTGAGCCATTCGGCTCTTGAATCGGGTGCAACCGCAACAAACGAAAAACAAAAACATGAACAAAAAAACATCTTAAAGTGAATATGTGACTGAGTGCAAACAGAAAATCCAAGAAAAGACAGCAAAATATTGCAGAAAAAACACCGTACACCAACGCTGTGTGCAAAAATCCCAGTGGGATGCAAGTCAAACAACAACAACAACCACAAGACAACTTTGATCAGTAGCAAGGGGCCCGGGGCATAAAGAGGTCGAACTTCCCCGTAGAGTTTAAAGGCGATCGTGATTTGAAGCTTTCGTGACTGCAGGAACCCATACTCTTTGGTTCTTTCGGTAAAGTCACGTCGGTAGAAAAACGAACAGATCACGACGTTTCGATCGCAACACAAGCAATCGTCATCAAGTGAGACAACTACAGCAAGAAATAACTGCTGAATTAGGCAGTTTTCTTGTTGCGATCTATTATTTTTTCTACCTACGTGACTTTACCGAAAGAACCAAAGAGTATAGTTTAAAGGCAGCCGTAGCACGGAAGCTAATATACGCATCTAGCGTAGCTTCAGTGTCGCCGATTGGACACGGGGCGAGTAATTGTGTGCACTGTGTGTCAGGCTGAGACGATGATCGAGGTGGTGGCGAAGATTACACGCGGGCCCGTGTTCCTGGCCGGGGAGACGCTGGAGTGCCTTGTCACCTTCACCAACCCCATGGGGCCTCACGCCACCTCTGCCAGCTGGTGAGTGGATCAACTGGTGGGTTCGAGATTCACCTGGTGAATGTGAGACTCAGCTTGTGAGTGAGAGACCATCCAGCTGGCGAATGAAAGATTTAGCTGGTGAGAGATTCAGATTGTGAGTAAGAGCCCCAGCTGGTGGGTTCGAGATTCACCTGGTGAATGTGAGACTCAGCTTGTGAGTGAGAGACCATCCAGCTGGCGAATGAAAGATTTAGCTGGTGAGAGATTCAGATGATGAGTAAGAGCCCCAGTTGGTGGGTTCGAGATTCATCTGGTGAGTGTGAGACTCAGCTTGTGAGTGAGAGACCATCCAGCTGGTGAATGAAATATTTAGCTGGTGAGAGATTCAGATGATGAGTAAGAGCCCCAGTTGGTGGGTTCGAGATTCACCTGGTGAATGTGAGACTCAGCTTGTGAGTGAGAGACCATCCAGCTGGCGAATTAAAGATTTAGCTGGTGAGAGATTCAGATGATGAGTAAGAGCCCCAGTTGGTGGGTTCGAGATTCACCTGGTGAGTGTGAGACTCAGCTTGTGAGTGAGAGACCTCCCAGCTGGTGAATGAAAGATTTAGCTGGTGAGAGATTCAGATGATGAGTAAGAGCCCCAGTTGGTGGGTTCGAGATTCACCTGGTGAGTGTGAGACTCAGCTTGTGAGTGAGAGACCTCCCAGCTGGTGAATGAAAGATTTAGCTGGTGAGAGATTCAGATGGTGAGTAAGAGCCCCAGTTGGTGGGTTCGAGATTCATCTGGTGAGTGTGAGACTCAGCTTGTGAGTGAGAGACCACCCAGCTGGTGAATGAAATATTTAGCTGGTGAGAAATTCAGATGATGAGTAAGAGCCCCAGCTGGTGGGTTCGAGATTCACCTGGTGAGTGTGAGACTCAGCTTGTGAGTGAGAGACCTCCCAGCTGGTGAATGAAATATTTAGCTGGTGAGAGATTCAGATGATGAGTAAGAGCCCCAGCTGGTGGGTTCGAGATTCATCTGGTGAGTGTGAGACTCAGCTTGTGAGTGAGAGACCACCCAGCTGGTGAATGAAATATTTAGCTGGTGAGAAATTCAGATGATGAGTAAGAGCCCCAGCTGGTGGGTTCGAGATTCACCTGGTGAGTGTGAGACTCAGCTTGTGAGTGAGAGACCTCCCAGCTGGTGAATGAAAGATTTAGCTGGTGAGAGATTCAGATGATGAGTAAGAGCCCCAGCTGGTGGGTTCGAGATTCATCTGGTGAGTGTGAGACTCAGCTTGTGAGTGAGAGACCACCCAGCTGGTGAATGAAATATTTAGCTGGTGAGAAATTCAGATGATGAGTAAGAGCCCCAGCTGGTGGGTTCGAGATTCACCTGTTGAGTGTGAGACTCAGCTTGTGAGTGAGAGACCTCCCAGCTGGTGAATGAAAGATTTAGCTGGTGAGAGATTCAGATGATGAGTAAGAGCCCCAGCTGGTGGGTTCGAGATTCACCTGGTGAGTGTGAGACTCAGCTTGTGAGTGAGAGACCTCCCAGCTGGTGAATGAAATATTTAGCTGGTAAGAGATTCAGATGATGAGTAAGAGCCCCAGTTGGTGGGTTCGAGATTCACCTGGTGAATGTGAGACTCAGCTTGTGAGTGAGAGACCATCCAGCTGGCGAATGAAGATTTAGCTGGTGAGAGATTCAGATGATGAGTAAGAGCCCCAGTTGGTGGGTTCGAGATTCATCTGGTGAGTGTGAGACTCAGCTTGTGAGTGAGAGACCACCCAGCTGGTGAATGAAAGATTTAGCTGGTGAGAGATTCAGATGATGAGTAAGAGCCCCAGCTGGTGGGTTCGAGATTCATCTGGTGAGTGTGAGACTCAGCTTGTGAGTGAGAGACCACCCAGCTGGTGAATGAAATATTTAGCTGGTGAGAGATTCAGATGATGAGTAAGTGCCCCAGCTGGCATATAATCTGAACACAGGTTTCTGAACACAGGTTCAACGAACCTGGAACCTCAAGCTCGTTGTTTCCCTCCCGTGGCCGAGGCTTCCCCCTGGTAATGGTTGCGTTTGCCTGTGCTGCTGCTGCCGCCTTTGCCCAGCGAGACACTGGCGTGGGCCAGCGCTCAGATCCACTGCCAGTTCCACGCCAGCGAGAGCCGCGTGGCGCTGCCACCGACGCCGACAGCGGGACCAGACGTGCAGGCCGAGAGCGACACGGTCTTCGTGCCCAACCGAGGTCAGCCACGTGTGCGCACACACTCGCAAAGCGGTGACGTTTACACACCACACAAGGGGCTAAGTTAAGGTTGAGTCGACCTAATAGAGACCCAGCACCAGGTCAGTAAGCCATGAGCGGGAATCGAACTCGGGTCGCTGGGTTCGTATCGCAGCGCCGCTAACCGCTACACTCCTGCTACCCCATATATATGAACGCACGTGTACAAAGACAAAGATCCCCCGTATAGCTTTAACAGACTGTTGGGGCAAGTGCTATTAGCGAGCACCTATGAAGGCCAACACGGCACACCAGGGGGTGGAACTGCCAGCGCCACACCCGAACCGCCTTTGTCTACCCAGCGCTGATATATATACATACCGCACCAAGTACTCACATGAGACTGAGTCGACCTAGGGGAGGCCCAGGACCGGTTTAGATAATCGTCACTTGTGTTGGTACCTTTAGCAGGAATAGAACTCGGGTTGCCAAGTTCGTAGCGCAGCGCACCAACCGCGACACTACCTCTGCCCATACACACCCACACGCGCACGCAATAAACCCCATATGCAGGCACAAACAGCAATTCCCATTCAACACGATGAGACTTCCCTGGGGAGCACAGTCACATTGAAATCATTAAACACGCGGTGGAGAGTCGAGTGAGCTTTGCGAGTCGACGGTGCTGATGCTACTGCCGGTGCCGTTTGTTGCAGGCGAGAGGGGCCAATGCGTCCTCTCCACAACTCCCAAGATCCTCTTCTGCGACCTGCAGCTCGCCCCCGGTGACAGCAAGGCCTGTGAGTACTCGACGCCGACGCGATAGAATGATTGGGGTGGCTGCACCGCCAGCCCTCCTCCGCCGGCGGGGCACAGGCTGCTCGCGCGGAGTAACGCGCAGGAGACATTTCAAACGTCGGGCGCTGCCTCATTGTGGATTTTTTTTCCTGCCCACTGCACGTCCCGGGAGGAGCCGGGTTGGTTTTTCCACTGCAGGAGCCGAGCCGTCGTTGACGTCGCTCGCGGTCCCCTTACTGAACCCCGCGTTGAAATATAGTTCGTTTTTTATTTCACCAAGTAAGGCCCCACTGCACTATACAGTTGCTAATCGATTATTGATTATCGGGCGCGATTATTCGGATTCCAACATTATTCGGCGGTCACGGGCCGATCCGGCGAAACCGCTCCAAAGGCTGCAACCAGTCTGGGTATTGGCACCACGTGCTTGATTTTAGTGTTAAATATTATACACAATGCATTATACACTACATACAACAACTTAAAGAAACTACCGCACGTATGTACATCACCCCATGCAGAGTCTTCGACATTGGAGTGGTAAGTATGGCACTGTAAATTCAGTAACTTTTTAAAGTATAGTATTTATTTTTGTGTATTTGTATGGTTATGTATGCCAATTTCACAGAGTAAACACTTAAAATACACAAAAAACATAACAACACCTAAAACATAGTGTCATGGAAGAATGCGCAAAAATAAGCTATTTTAAGAACAATGATTCGTGATTATATCGGCATTTATGAAAATCCGGCACCCCCTTCTCCCCGAAGCCGCCAGATAATCGATGATCGACTGTACAGCTCTTTTTTTTAAAAGCGACCTGGCCACAAATGGTAGCCCAATGAAGTGGCTTATCATGTTGACATTTATAGCGGCCAAATATTCGAAACGCACGTTTCTAAACGTGGAGGGGAAAAACCGCGAAAAACAATCCACTCGACCACGTGGAGAACACGCAAACTCCGAACATACACAGGCGAGGGTCGGAATCGACCCCGTGACCTCATGTACAGCTTAAATATACGCTGCCAAGCCTGGTGGTGCCCATTCAGACGCTGTCTTTCCGACAGACCTGTTCTTCACCCGAGGACGGCTGCTTGCGTTGTGGCCGAAAACGTCGTGAGAATGATTTTATTATGTTTTATTTTTATAATTGTATTATTTCCCTTCTACGTGACTTTACCGAAAGAACCAAGAAGCAGGCGAAGCAGTTAACATCTCGCCACCGTGGCCCACCCCTCCTCCCCGTCCCGTCCGCAGACACGTACAGCGAGACGATCCCGCTGGACGCTCCGCCGTCGTTCCGCGGGCAGGCCGTGAAGTACGCCTACAAGCTGACGGTCGGCTGTCAGCGCGTCAACTCGCCCATCAAGCTGCTGCGTGTGCCCTTCCGCGTGCTCGTGCTGCAAGGTACGAGACCTGCCCCGCTCGCCCGGCCGACTCGATGCTCGCCAGCTTGATAATTGTTTTTTTTACCCTTTTATCTGGCAACAAAACTGACACCTTTTTTACGAGGAGTCATGTTTGCATAGACCACAATGCCTGCAGTCGTAACGCAAACAAAAAACATAACTCTGATAGTGTATGCACTGTCCTTGAAGTTGATTGGTCCACACCCGAGACAGCTTTCCTTAGAGCCTAGTTTCACATGGTGTTGGACCAGATGTCTTGACGGCGCGATGCCGATAGCATGCTCGGAATAAACTGGGAAATAATATTAATAATAAGATGCGTTTTGAGCGATGCGCGTAACCCTCCAGACATCCTGCCCGTAGGTCTCTCCGAGTACCACCTGTCGCCGGATGACGACACCGTGGCCCCAGCAAACCCCTTCCTGGACGACGACGACGACGACACGGACAGCGACGACGGCAACGAGGCGGACGGGGAAGGTGGGGGCCAGGAATCGGGCGAGAGGGGCGAGGGGCGGCTGCTGGACCTCGCCGCGGACATGATCACGGTCGCCACGGCGCAGCGCAACCAGAGTGAGACACGCACACGGACGTGCACACGTGCACACGCACGCGGACGTTCACGAGGACACACGCGCAGGCACGCGCAGGCACCAATGCAGGCACACACGCTGACACACGCTGACACAGACGTACATGTTTACACGCACGGACACACACCTACATACGCAGGCACACACCGATTCACACCAACACACATGCGCCGGCACACCAACACCCGCCATTCGCCACTAAGTGACGGTGACGTCACCACGGCGCCTGTGCCAGGCCAGGTGCACTTTCAGTGAGCGTGCTGAAACAAGCACGTGATGCTGATGATGGAACCTCGTGAAGAAGAGTCGTAGAGACTCGGTGGGGCTTTCCTGGGTCAACAAGCGTAAATTAAAAACAAGCACAGGTGTGAGCTGCACATACTGTCACCGATGCAGCACGTGTGTGTGCATCGTCAGAGTAGGGGAGCGGCGGCAGTGGAGTTGTTAGCGCGCTGCACGACGCACCCGGCGACCCTACTCACGGCTGATAACGGTGTTGAATATTTGAACCGGTACCGGGGTCGCCCCTAGGTCGACTCGTGCGTCAAATGAGTACCCGTGTAAACGTCGCCAATAGGGAGGTAAAGGCGGCGTGGGCACGGTGCCGCCCGCCCGCCCGCGCCCTCCCGCAGCCGCTCGCCAAAGGCACTCGCCCCAGGCTCCACGGCGGGGTGAACCATCGTCTCGTTGCCGTCGCAGGCGTGTTCAACATCACGAGCCCGTGGGGCAAGGTGGGGCGCCTGAGCGTGGCGCGCTCCGCCTTCCGCCTGGGCGAGGACGCCGTCTGCAGCTTCGACTTCTCGGCGGGCGACGTGCGCTGCCTGCGCGTCACCGTGCTCCTGCAGGCCGAGGAGAGCGTGGCGCCGGCGCTGCGGCGGCGCCCCTCCCAGGCGCCCGCCGTGGCGACGCACGCGCGCCACCACGAGCTGTGTCTCCACACGGCGCGCACGCACGCCGCGCTGCCCGTGCCGTTGCACGCCACGCCCAGCTTCAGCACCCACGTGGGTGAGGACGTCCGCACCCCCCCTGCTCACCCCCCCACGTCCCCCCACGCTCACCCACCCCCGCCCTCCCCCACTCGGCCGTCAGCTATTCGGTTGCATTGTGGGAGTTTTTAGACATGTGAGGAAACCGGGGAAAACCCGATTTAAAGTTTTCGTGACTGCAGGGATTCATCTTACTCGGTTCTTTCGGCAAATGTCGCGTAGAATGGAAATAATAAAATGATAAAAATTCAATATTAAATGTTTTCTTTTTTATTATTTTATTATTTCCATTCTACGTGACTTTACTGAAAGAACCAAGAAGAGGAGAAAACTCTTTCAGAACAGGTGGAGAGCGAGAGAACACACTAACTCAGCCTCAGCTCTGCCGTCACCGCCACCACCGCCGCCCCGCTGACAGCTGCCCCGTTTTCTTCGCCCTCCTTCACCACCCCATCCACCGCACCCCCCCCCCCCCCCCCGTTGCAGTGACCCTCAAGTGGCGACTGCATTTCCAGTTCCTGGTGGCGTGCGAGCCGGAGGCCACCCCCACGCTCGCCATGGAGGCGTCCGAGGGCAGCCTGTGGCGGGGGGCCGAGCGCGTGCAGGCCGACACGCTCAGCTGGGACCTGCCCATCACCGTGCTGCCCACCAACCCCCTTCAGGCGGCCAGTGGCTCGCCCACACAGGCCTGCAATTCCGTCGTCATCTGAGAGCGTGGGGGGTGTGGGGGGGGGTCGGGGGAGGGGATAGAGGGAGGGGGTGTGGGGGAACGCCGGGAGGTGGAAGGCTCCCGGTACAGCTTATGAGGGCCGTGTTCAGAGTCTCGGCTTGGCCCTGGCTGGGCCTCTAATGATTAGGCTTAGCTCAGGCTCAGCTCTCAGGCTTAGCTCAGGCTCAGCTCTCAGGCTCAGCTCAGGCTCAGGCTAAGCTTAGGCTCAGCGCAAGCTTGAGCCGCTCAGTTGCTTCCAAAGATGGGTGAGCGAGCGGGCGAGCGTGCTCAGCTGTGGCTCGTCTCGGGCTCAGCTCACGGATATACCGAGCACGGCTGGGACCCACGCTCGGAGCCGGCTCAAGTTGAACACGTGGGTTTGAGCTGGCTCACTGGAATCGGGCCTGATCCATACCTGAGCCCTACCTGTGGCCCAGCCTGGAGAGTCATTGTCTCAGGACACCCTGGGGCGCTTTGGAGGTGAGAGCGATGCGGTGTATTGATGAGCTTGGACCTCCCATTTGTCTCTCCCAGTCAAAAAGTAGCAAGCGATTTTCCTCCTAAAACGTGAGCGTCGATGCTCATCAGCCCTGCAGTGGTGGAAACTCCACGTGCCTATGGCAGGAGACCAGATCTATCCTTTGTTATCTTCCCCCACACAAATTGGTAGAAATTTTATCGACCCCGGAAGGATGATGATGATGATGGTGGTGGTGGAGATAGGCCGAGTCCCCTTTTTGGCCGCTAAAAATGTTATTCGCGAGACTGGATGCTCTCGAGGGTCTTGGGGGTGATTGGATTGAGACAGCAGGCCAATGGGCTACACTCTTTTCTGCAACGTCATCCGGGTTATATCAAAGAGAAAATGAAAACACAATCAAAACTTGCGTTGAGATACAAACAATGGCAGCGGCGTTATTACTTCTTAAAGAGGTTTGGACAGCATTAGGCAACACTACCCACGCGTGCACTCGTACAAATTTAAAAGGACAAAGATTGGGTTGGGCAGTGTAAAGGGTTAGCGCACTTCGCTGCAAACACGACGGCCCGAGTTCGATTCCTGCTCACGGCCGCCAGCACCAGTGACGATTATCTGAACTGGTCCTGGGCCTCTCCGAGGTCAACTCAGCCTTAAATGAGTAGTACCTGGTGCGATGCTTGATCACCATCAGCACTGGGAAGATAAAAGGCGGCCGGGCGTGGTGCTGGCCACCCACCCCCTCGTGTGCCGTTTTGGGCTTAATAGGTGCTCGCTAAAAACACTTGCCCCTGGCAGTCTGTTAAAGGATATGGGGGGAGATTATATTCTTAGGTTTTTTCGGTAAAGTCACGTAGGTAAAAAATTAAATTAATAAAAGTACGCTTGCTGGATACAGCAAGCGTGCTGTGACGGTTCCACCTGAAGACGGAAGCTTGTGTTGCCTCCGAAATGTCGTGATTTTATTTTTTATTTTTTTTACTTTTATTAATTTACATTTTTTACCTACGTGACTTTACCGAAAAAACCTAAGAATATGAATCCTTGCAGTCACGAAAGCTTCAAATCTGGGGGGAGATTGTTTTGTATGTGCGAGAGCGCGTGAATGTGTGATGTGAGCGAGAGTTCTCCGGCGCGGTAATAACTTCACACCAGAGGTCGCAAACGGGTTTTGATTCCTTACCCGTACCCGTACCCGGCCGCACCAGGGTCGCAAATGGGTAACCGTACTCGGCCAGGTACAGGTACCCGTTCCCTACCCGTACCCGTACCCTACCCGAAATGAGTGACAAACGGTTACTCACCAGTGACTCACGGCCTACCCGTACCCGTACCCGGCCGCACCAGGGTTGCAAACGGGTACCCGTACCCGGCCGGGTACGGGTAGCCGGGTATCGGGTAGGGTATGGATATCGGGTACCCGGTTGTGACCTCTGCTTCACACTGCCCTGGATTTTGCCTGTGACCCAGGCACATGCGGTTTTTAAAAACAAAATGAAATTCCCATGAGGCTTGTGTACTCGGGAGTTGGTTTTCCAAAGATAGAGCAGTACAGCGAGCGGGTTCGTGAACGCACGCGTGCGCGCGTACGAAGAGTTCGGTTTTTCGCAGGCAATTCGCGCTCATCTTAAAAACAGACTTGGGACGAGCATCCCAATTGCAGCGGTGTAGCAGGGACCTCCCGGGAAAGCATTCTTTTGACATTCCGCGGGGGGGGGGGGCTCTTTTACCTGGGCGAAGGGCACCGTCGTCACGATTATCAAACCACGTTTTATAAACTTTATTTAAACAATAAAACGGTAATTCGAATGAGCGAAACGAGTCCTGCGTCTTTGAGAAATCAACGGGGATATGTTGGGGGGGGGGGGGGGGGGGGGGGGACAGGGCTTGGATGTTCCATGCACAAGCAATCGGCTGCACCGTGCGACCGGATAGCGATCGCACAGAGCATTATGCGTGGGGGTGGAGCCACGCGGTGATGTGCAGTGCCCCCCCCCACCCCCCTCGTTGGGTACTTTGATGGTCCTTGGGTCTCCAAACAAACGGTGAAAAGGTGGAATCGGTCGTGGAAACAAAGTTGGGGGAAGCAATTGGAAGGCGTTCAGATTTCTCATTCAGACGCTGTCTTTCCGACAGACCTGTTCTTCACCTGAGGACGGCTGCTTGCGTTGTGGCCGAAACGTCGTGAGAATTGTATTTTATTATGTTTATTTTTATTATTTTATTATTTCCCTTCTACGTAACTTTACCGAAAGAACTAAGAGGATGAATCCCTGCAGTCACGAAAGCTTTAAATGGAAATTTAAGGCGTTCAGAGTTGAAAATGTAAAGTTCGCGTTCGGAGCGACCCTAAACGTTTTGATCGCTGAAAGGGGGGCAGCAGATACGCTGGGCCTGGGACGCACGATACGCTGGTCTGAAGATCACCCAGCGCAAGAGGGCACACGCAGAACATTCTTGCGATGCACCGCGTCAAATCGGTCCGGCGCCGGTGTTTCTCTTGCAGTTGATGCCCCCTTGCATTTCGGTTGGGGCGCCACGGTGGCCAGGAGATGTTAACTACCTCGCCCGGTGTGCAGGAGGTCGTGGATTCGATCCCGACCCCGACGCCTGCTATATAGTTGGAGTTTGCACGTCTCTCCGTGGTTGCGTGGGTTTTTTTTTACCTCTGGTTGGCTGCTTAGGCATTTCCACGCGATAAGCCAATTCGTTGAGCTATCTTTTGTGGCCAGCTCGCTTCTCAAAAAGAGCCATTTAGCTCAGTGGGCCTTTCCTAGTCAAATAGAGTTTATAGTTTTGATTTAAAGCTTTCGTGACTGCAGGGATTCATATTCTTGGTTCTTTCGGTAAAGTCACGTAGAAGGGAAATAATAAAATAATATAAATATAAAACAATAAAAAAATTCCAACGACGTTTCAACTGCAACACAAGCAATCATCAGGTGTGATGATTGCTTGTGTTGCAGTCGAAACGTGAGAATTTTTTATTTTATATTATATGATTTTATTATTTCCCTTCTACGTGACTTTACCGAAAGAACCAAGAATTTCGTTTATAGTTTATTATTATTACGACTACTACAGTATTATTCTCGTGATTTTACTCGTTTAGCCAGGAAAGCCTCGCCGAAATCGGGATGAACTCAATTGGCCAGATAGAAGTTCAACATACACAGAAGAGCATCTTTCGCTTTTAAGCTTTCGTGACTGCAGGGATTCATCTTCTTGGTTCTTTTCATGTAAAGTCACGTAGCAGCCGTCCCCAGGTGACCTGAGGACGGCTGCTTGCGTTGTAACCGAAACGTCGTGAGAATTATTTTATTATGTTTTATTTTTATTATTTTATTATTTCCCTTCTACGTGACTTTACCGAAAGAACCAAGAAGAAGAAGGGCATCTCTTACGCGTATCAACATCTTCCCCCCGCCAGCATAACACTGGGCACGACCCCTCCTCTACGAAGCATTGAGACTCACTTGCCACCGAGGCTTTCCCCAAGCAAGCATCATCGTCATAGCCATAATAAAAACAACACGGGGGGGGGGGGGGGACCGTTATTGAAGGTGGTCCGTGATCTAATTGATTAAAACGAAACAGCAGGATGGAAGGGCACTTTCAGGAAATCCACCTTCGCAGTGAAAAGCAACGCTACGTTCAGTGTAATTGCATATCTCGGTCGACCCGAAACAGCTCCTTCACCTTGTGCCAGCAGCGATCCTTCCACACTTCACGTGGCCTCAAGGTACACCTCGGCTGGCACAAGCGCAGTGGTGACATCACCGCCGCTGGGTGGCACCTCCGATTGGCACGGTTGGCTACGTACGGTGCGAGTTCAACACGCACACATACGAATGGCGGCTCTTGCTGAATATCTGCGTGCACGCGTCGTGTAGCGGTTAGCGCTACGCTGCGCTATGAACCTGGCGACCCGGGTTCGATTCCCACTCACGGCCAGCACCAGTGACGATTATCTGAACCGGTCCTGGGCCTCCCCTAGGTTGACACGGCCTCAAATGAGTACCTGGTGCGGTGTGTAAACATTGCCACTGGGGAGACAAAGGCGTCTGGGCGTGGTGTTGGCCACCCACCCCCTCGTGTGTTGTGCCGGCCTTCATAGGCGCTAATAGCAGCACTTGCCCCAACAGCTTGTTAAGGCTGTACGGGGTGGGGGGGAGTCTTTGTCCTTTTGCGTGCGTGTCTGCGTGCGTGTCTGCGTGCGTGGTCTTGCACCTCGCCCTACTATCGCATGAGGGGCGCCGAGGCGTTTGTGATGGACCAGCTCGGGCTGGACAGCGTGGGGCTGTTGACGATAGAATCCGAGGACAGCAGTTCCATCGTGATGCTCATCGGGGACGGTGGCATTGGAATCTGGGAGGGCGGCAGCAAAGTCGATGTTAACGATGACAATTGACCCTTTCACGTGAATGTTGATATCTCCTTGGCATCTCTCGAGAGTTCGGATCGCTCTCAACCGCGTTCCCAACCCCACAAGACCAAGGTGTGGTGGATATTTTTTTACGCTTACTCCCCAGCGCTCCGTGTGCAGCAAGAGGCCGCAACAAGCCCAAGCCACGCCAGGACGGCACTTTAGCAGCTTCGCCGCAAGACCGGCCCCCCATGTGGTCTTCCACTCCGCAAACGGAACAATCGGGGAACCTGCGAGTAACGCATCGAGGCGCAAAAACCATCGGGGCGCACTTCGCCAACGACTGCCCCTGATACGGGCGTGGCGCCTGCACGCAGCTCGGTGGGCACGATCACCGAAGGAGTGGACGACGATCGCTGCCGTGATTCCGGGCCGAGTGATTTGCGTCGTGAAACTTTACGGGACGTGGAGCTCTCGACGCCGCTGGCGCGCAGCGGCCTCGAGCGTTCGCTCGGAATGACGTGGCGGGACCGCCTTGACGTCCGCCGGTGAGTGAAGCAGAAGGCGCGTTAGGTTTTAAAAAATTTGAATATTTTTAAAATAATTTTTAGTATTACTTTGATATAAACCAAAAAAATATCATTCTTATTAGAATTTTTTTTGGCTTTTTACGGCGAGCTGGTCACCACGGCGTTAACCGGTGGGGGAGGGAGGGGGGCGGCCTGTCGGATTCGGAACCGCTAGCCTCCGCGACGTGCGGCACATTCACCACACGCCCCGGCAGCAGCGTCGCCTACGAACCTTGTCCTCCTCCTTGCCGCCCTCGTCGTTGTACCGGACGAGAGATCCGCGCGGGACGCCGTCGTGAAAAACCCGCAGCGGCCTCTTGGGGCGAGGTAGCAGGAAGGCGACGAGGCCTAGGGGAGGGAGCGATGGGGGCGGATGGGTCAGGGCCGCGGGCAGAGAGGAAGGTTCAAGTCAAAGCCAGAGGTGGAGGTCAGAGACACCGAGCCGGCACTGCCGAGATCCTGGGATTCCGATCCAGGTTTTTAGCCACCGCCAGTGATTAAACCGGGGTCTTACTGATGGTTGCATTTTAAGGTCGCACTCGTCACACACAAAATGCTGGTCACAAATGAACCGCAATGCCTTGCTCATCTCGTCAAGGAGCATAAACCATCATCACGCAAACTCCGGTCGTCCTCGCAGCAGAGGCTTTGGCTAACCGTCGAACGAAGACGGTCACCGCATCGCGCGGCGCTTTCAGATGCACTTCTTGCGGCCGTCTGGAACACTCTTCCGATATTCGGAAGCCACTACAGCTATGAACTTTTAAATCACCATCTCGATTGAAAACCCATTTCTTTAGAACTGCTTTTTGTGTTCAGTTTGTTGGCCTTCCCCCGCACCTCCGATTGGCTACGTACGGTGCGAAAGAAGTTCCACTTACGCAACATACACAACAAACTCCACACGTAGCAAGGCGCCCAGGAACCCTGTTGCTGTGAGGCCAAGGTGAGCGTCGCCAACCGCTGCACCAGCACAGCCGTCCTGACCCCACCACCCTGACCCCACCACCCTGACCCCGCCACCCTGACCCCGCCACCCTGACCCCTCCACCCTGACCCCTCCACCCTGACCCCTCCACCCTGACCCCACCACCCTGACCCCTCCACCCTGACCCCACCACCTTGACCCCACCACCCTGACCCCACCACCCTGACCCCGCCACCCTGACCCCTCCACCCTGACCCCTCCACCCTGACCCCTCCACCCTGACCCCTCCACCCTGACCCCTCCACCCTGACCCCTCCACCCTGACCCCTCCACCCTGACCCCTCCACCCTGACCCCACCACCCTGACCCCTCCACCCTGACCCCTCCACCCTGACCCCACCACCCTGACCCCTCCACCCTGACCCCACCACCTTGACCCCACCACCCTGACCCCTCCACCCTGACCCCTCCACCCTGACCCCTCCACCCTGACCCCTCCACCCTGACCCCTCCACCCTGACCCCACCACCTTGACCCCTCCACCCTGACCCCACCACCCTGACCCCTCCACCCTGACCCCACCACCTTGACCCCACCACCCTGACCCCACCACCCTGACCCCGCCACCCTGACCCCTCCACCCTGACCCCTCCACCCTGACCCCTCCACCCTGACCCCTCACCCTGACCCCTCCACCCTGACCCCTCCACCCTGACCCCTCCACCCTGACCCCTCCACCCTGACCCCTCCACCCTGACCCCACCACCCTGACCCCTCCACCCTGACCCCTCCACCCTGACCCCACCACCCTGACCCCTCCACCCTGACCCCACCACCTTGACCCCACCACCCTGACCCCTCCACCCTGACCCCTCCACCCTGACCCCTCCACCCTGACCCCTCCACCCTGACCCCTCCACCCTGACCCCACCACCTTGACCCCACCACCCTGATGTGACCGCACCTACGAGCGCCACGACGAGCAGGGAGATGATGATGGCTGCGGTGGCGCCGGCCCCCAGCCCCGGCCGCCGGACCTTAGCGGGGAAGCACGTCTCCTCCTCCTCCTCGTCGCCGTGGTATCCGGGGGGCGCCCCCCCCCAACAGCGGCACACGCGCACGGCCACGCTCCTCGCCTCCCCGTGGCCGCCCCGGTCCGCGAGCATCACGGAGAGGCGGTGAACTCCGAGCGGAGGACCCCCGCCGCCGTAGGTGTTCACGCGGGCCTGCAGTCGCGCGCTCGTTTCTGAGAGGTGGGGGGGGGTTTCGGTCATTTGGGGGGCCACAGTGGTGGTAGCGGTCGCGAGGGTAGAAGTGGCAGCCGCCCCCGCCCCCCCCCCCCGCCTCCCCCCCACTCGCTCACCATTGAGGATCACGACCTCCCAGAGCGCGGCGGTGCCGGCGGGCTCGTCGACCAGAGAGAAGGCGAAGGGGGGCCCGTGGGCGGGCGAGTCGGCGTCGGAGGCCGTGAGGGGGAGGCCCTCGGAGGGGCGGCCCAGGCAGAGGCGCGGCAGGGAGGGCCCCGCGCGCCGCAGGGCCCCCGTGAGCACCGGGGCGTGGTCGTTCACGTCCAGGATGTGCAGCTCGATGGTGCCCGTGGCCGTGCGGGGAGGGGGTCCTGGTGGGGGTGGGGGGGGTAGGGGTCAAGTGGCGGTGGTGGGGGTGGAGTGGGGGGTGCGGGATGTGTCGGACAATGCCCGACTGCCTTTGTCTGCCCAATGCTGATGTTTACACACCGCACCGTCACCACCACTCCCTCTCACCACCATCGTCACCACCGTCACCACCTCCACTGTCACCACCGCTCCCTCTCACCACCTCCACCACCATCACCACCTCCACCGTAACCACCGCTCCCTTTCACCACCACCTCTACCATCTCCACCACCACCTCCATTTTCCACCACCACCTTCACCACCACCTCCACTCCCCGCCACCACCGTCACCACCACCACCGTCACCACCGCCACCACCGCGGCGTCCGCGGAGTGGAACCCACCGTCCTGCAGGGCGAGCACGGTGAAGGTGTAGAGGCCGTTGTGGACGAACGGCGACTCCCGGTCGATGGCGCCGACCGTGGAGATGACGGCTGTGCGGGGGTCCACCTGGATCCAGGCCGCGGGATCGTCCCCCAGAGCGTAGCTACACCACGGCGGTAGACGCGGAGAAAGGGACGGGACAGAGGCAGGGGAGAGACAGAGACACGGAGGTCTCAGAGGCACCCACGTAGTCTCACAGTGAGCAGTAGCGGGGATGGGTCTTACTTTCCGGGCGCTTCCAATAAAAATAATATAATCCCACGGCAGTCTAGCGAAGGAAAGTCGGTTGGAGACGCTTGATACTCGTTTGACGTTCCCAACCAACGAAAGCAGGAAACCCCACGCCATTCCGACTGGAATATGGTGGCAAGCGCTTTTAAAATGTGTGGTGCCACTGGTCTTTGCTGTGAATCCCATTTTTTAAAATCCTATAGCACACTATAATGCGTTTAAGCCCATAAAAACCCTATAACACGTTATAACACTTTTAATCCCATAAAAAAATATCCTCTACGTTTGCAATGACAGTAGAGCCGAAATGAGCTGTGAGTGGATTACTGGCCACGGGAGGTAATGACAGGGGAGTCAGCCTGCAGTGCGAATGCACTAGTGGCCACGGGAGGTAATGATAGGGAAGTCAGCTGTGAGTGCGAAGGGACTAGTGGCCACGGGAGGTAATGACAGGGGAGTCAGCTGTGAGTGCGAAGAGACTGGTAGCCACAGGAGGTAATGACAGGGGAGTCAGCTGTGAGTGCGAACGGACTAGTGGCCACGGGAGGTAACACATAACGCTTTTCGTCCCATTGAATAATCTTATAACACCCTGTAATTATTTTAATCCCACACGCAAAGAATGCTATAAGGTCAACAACGACAGAAGCACTTGGCCACACGCCATTCCAACTGGATCAGAGGAGACATCCCATGAGCTACAGAAGTTCTTCAGCTTCTTCTTTCAGAGACGTCCAGTTCATAAAGTTATGGAACACCTCCTCCTCCCCCCAGCTCCTCCCCACCTCCTCTCCCCCCCCACCTCCTCACCCCCCACCTCCTCACCCCCCACCTCCTCCCCCCCACATCCTCTCTCTCACCTCATCCTCTCCCCCTCCTCCTCCCCCCACCTCCTCCCCCCCATCTCCTCTCCTCCTCTCCCCACCTTCACCTCCTTCCCCTCCTGCTCCCCCTCCTCCACCTCCTATTCCTCCCTCTCCTCCTCCCTCACCTCCTCCTCCCCCTCCTCTTCCCCCCTCCTTATCCTCCACCTCCTCCACCTCCTACCCCTCCTGCCCCTCCTGCTCCTCCCTTTCCTGCTCCCCCCCTCTCCCCCCCCCCCTCACCTCCCCCACCCCCCTCCTTCCTCACCGGATCTCTCCGCCGTGATGCTGCGAGTCGGGGTCCCGCGCTCGGAACTCCCCCAGGGCGCTGCCAGGGGCCGCCTCCTCCGGCGCGCTCAGCACCAGGAGGGGCGGCTCGAACGCGGCCCCCTCGGGCACGTCACGCACGCTCACCAGCACCGTGGCCGTGGAGGCCGCGGGGGGCTGCCCGGCCGACGTCACCAGCAGGGCCCGGTTAGCCACGGCGACGAGCAGCTCCAGCGAGCTCTGTCGCTCGTAGTCCAGCGGCTAACGGGGGAACGGGGGGTTGGGGGGGGGTTAGTGGGGGGCCCGTCCATAAATGACGTCATGCGATTTCTGACGATTTTTGACATCCCCCCCTCCTCCTTGTCACACGCCGTCACAAAAAGTCTGCCCCCCCCTTCAAATATGACGTCACAAAGCTCTGCCCCCCCCCCCCTCAAATATAAAACACGCTTCAAATCGCTTTAAACTATTGTCATTGTAGTGCGTATTTAATGTGGCGCTGCACTCTGATGTTGTAGGAGAAAACATTTATTAAAAAGTCTATTTAATTAAGTAGAACGTGTTGTCTATATTTTTTTAAAGTTGCGCATTTTGATGTGACGTCACATTTCTCAAACCCCGCCCCCCCATCACACATCGTCACAAATGTCTGACCCCCTCCCGCCCCCCAGGTGCGTGACGTCATTTATGGACGACCCCTTAACCAATCAGAGCGCGGAGCCATCGCTCCAGGCCTTCTCGATGACTCCGTCCCAGCGACCTCGCGCGACGATCGCCCACCTTGACAACGGAGACCACGGCGGCGTTGCTGTTGTGGTCCGTGCGGACGCGGAAGCTCGCCCCGTCGTTTCCGCCCACGATGGAGTAGACGGCGCGCCAGCCGTCGGTGCCCACCTCGTCACGGTCCGAGACGAAGAGGAAGACGAGCGGGTCCACCAGCTCGTTCTCGGCGACGCTCGCCGACACCTGCGCGGCCGGCGGTCGCGCGCGTGAGAGAGACGGCGGTGGCGTGGAAGCGGACACCACGGAGCTACCTCCGAGAAACCATTCGAGTGACCTTCAAGAAGCCCTTCGAGCGACCTTCAAGAAGCCCTTCAAGCGACCTCCGTGAGAGAGACGGCGGTGGCGGTGGCACGTGGAAGCGGACACCACGGAGCTACCTCTGAGAAACCATTCGAGTGACCTCCAAGAAGCCCTTCGGGCGACCTTTAAGAAGCCCTTCAAGCGACTTCCGTGAGAGAGACGGCGGTGGCGGTGACACATGGAAGCGTACACCACGGAGCTACCTCCGAGAAGCCCTTCGAGTGACCTCTGAGAAGCCCTTCAAGCGATATCAGCTCCGCGCGCCATGGCTCTATATGCCTGGGCTCTTGAGTTGCCCACCTGGTTAAACAAAACCAACTTGACTGCCCTCTGCCATTGCGCCAACGGCTCGGTTCTGGCTCTGGCTCAGCCTCGAACGCGCAGGCTCGGCTCAGGCTTGAGCCGCTCAGAGACTTCCAAAGACGCTCGGGTGAGCAAATGAGCGAGCGGCTCGGCTGTGGCTCGGCTCAGGCTGGGCCTAAGGTTCATGCTCGGTTCAGGCTTGAGCCACTCACCAGATTAAAAAAATCAAACACACGAGTGAGTCGAGCGGCTCGGCCGTGGCTCAGCTTAGGTTTGGGGCCTCGTGGATATCCCGAGCGCGGCCGGAGGAACCCCGCGCTCGGAGCCGGCCCTGACGTGAGCGCATCGCCTTGAGCCAGAGCCCAACCTGGGCCCAAGGGCGGGCGCGCTGGGTTTGCCGGTCCTCACCGTGGTGGTGATGAACGTCGGCACGTTGTCGTTCACGTCCGCGACTCGCACCGCCAAGGTCCCCGTGCCGCTCAGGCCGCTGGGGGCCCCGTTGCAGTCCGTGGCCACCACCGTCAGCCGGAACTCGCTCACGGCCTGCGCGGCACCACGCGCGCGCAAACACAACGGTGGCCAGCCGCCACCACCACCACCACCACCCCCGTACAGCCTCGATGGGATTTTGGGGCGGCATGGCCACACGCCAGAGGGCTTGGGTGGCCAGCGCCACGCTCTCGGCCGCCTTTGTCTCCCCAGTGGGGAAGCGGCGGTTCTCAACCCATGGGGTAGGTCCCCCCAAAAACACTTTAAGGGTGGGGGTGCGGGGTTAGTGGGGATGCTATGGCATGGCGATGATGATGATGATATTTGGTGATGGGAAGTCGTGGTTGTTGTTGGATGTCAGGGTTGTTGCTGCTGTGGTTCTAGGTATTGTGGTTGTTGTTGTTGTCCCCACCCCTTTCTACCCCCACCCACCCCCATGTATCCCGACCCCCACCCACACCCTTCTACCCCGACCCTGACCCCCACCCACCCACCCCCTTCCACCCTGACCCCCACCCCTTTCTAACCCACCCCCATGTACCCCGACCCCACCCACCCCTTTCTACCCAGACCCTGACCCCCACCCACCCCCTTCTACCCAGACCCTGACCCCCACCCACCCCCATGTACCCCGACCCCCACCCACCCCCTTCTACCTCCACGTTCTGCAAACGACTCAGGGCCCAGCGCAAGTCAAGCTCCGATCCGGCTCACTGGAGACGGGGCCTCTCTAGAGGCTCTGAACGAATCGGAAATCGCCGTTGGTGTCTGCGATGGTGGGCGGGGGGGGGGTTCGGGGTGGGGGGTGGTGGTGGTGGTTGCCGGCACCTCTCGGTCGAGCCGCACGTTGGCTGTGACCTCCCCGGTGAGCCGGTCCACGGAGAATGCGTCGGGTGGCTGGGGCGGCTCCTGTGCTTCGAGGCGGTAGACGAGGGCCGTGTGCTCCGTGCCGGGGTCGTCTCGGTCCGAGGCCGAGAGCCTCGCCACCAGGGAGCCTACGCGAACCAACGCGTGCCAACACGGGCCACGCGGCCACATGAGCAAACAAAAATGAGGATATTTTGCTATGGGGGCATCCGTAAATGGCGTCACGCGATTTTGGGCGGTTTTTGACCCCCCCCCCTCCCTCGTCACACGGCGTCACAGAAAGTCAACCCGCCCTCAAATATGACGTCACAAAGCTCTGCCCCCCCCCCCAACCATATTTCCATTTAAAAAATTAAACATGCTTCAAATCGCTTTAAACTATTGTCATCGTAGTGCGTATTTAATGTGGCGCTGCACTCTGATGTTGTATGAGAAAACATTTATTAAAAAGTCTATTTAATTAAGTAAAACTCTATTTATTTAAATTTGCGCATTATTACGTGACGTCACATTTCTCAACCCCCCCCCCCCCCCTCGTCACACATTGTCACAAATGTCTGAACCCCCCCCCCCTCGGTGCGTGACGTCATTTATAAACGGCCCCTATTGACATTTTGTAAAAAAAAAAATGGCGCGTTTCATCCGCGGATCCCCGATGTGACGTCCGCACGTTCAGCTTATTCGGCACCGGTTACGTAGCCGACAGCGCTAATCGGAGGCGCGTGGGAAGGACACCAGACGACTAAACACGACTACAAGAAGCCAGTCCTAAAGAAATGAGCTTCCAATTTAGATTTGTACCTACGTTGAACTTCTTTCGCACCGGTACGTCGCCGTCCGCGCTAATCGGAGGTGCTACGACGATGATGGCGATAACAGCAGCGGCGGTTAGGGAGCCCCTATTAATGGGTTAGGGAGCCCCTATTAACGGGTTAGGGAGCCCCTATTAACGGGTTAGGGAGCCCCTATTAACGGGTTAGGGAGCCCCTATTAACCGGTTAGGGAGCCCCTATTTACCGGTTAGGGAGCCCCTATTAACGGGTTAGGGAGCCCCTATTAACCGGTTAGGGAGCCCCTATTAACCGGTTAGGGAGCCCCTATTAACGGGTTAGGGAGCCCCTATTTACCGGTTAGGGAGCCCCTATTAACGGGTTAGGGAGCCCCTATTAACAGGTTAGGGAGCCCCTATTAACGGGTTAGGGAGCCCCTATTAACGGGTTAGGGAGCCCCTATTAACCGGTTAGGGAGCCCCTATTAACAGGTTAGGGAGCCCCTTTTAACGGGTTAGGGAGCCCCTATTAACAGGTTAGGGAGCCCCTATTAACCGGTTAGGGAGCCCCTATTAACAGGTTAGGGAGCCCCTATTAACGGGTTAGGGAGCCCCTATTAACGGGTTAGGGAGCCCCTATTAACGGGTTAGAGAAAACCCTATTAACGGGTTAGAGAGCCCCTATTAACAGGTTAGGGAGCCCCTATTAACGGGTTAGGGAAAACCCTATTAACGGGTTAGGGAGCCCCTATTAATGGGTTAGGGAGCCCCTATTAACCGGTTAGGGAGCCCCTATTAACGGGTTAGGGAGCCCCTATTAACCGGTTAGGGAGCCCCTATTAACCGGTTAGGGAGCCCCTATTAACGGGTTAGGGAGCCCCTATTAACGGGTTAGGGAGCCCCTATTAACGGGTTAGGGAGCCCCTATTAACGGGTTAGGGAGCCCCTATTAACGGGTTAGGGAGCCCCTATTAACGGGTTAGGGAGCCCCTATTAACGGGTTAGGGAGCCCCTATTAACGGGTTAGGGAGCCCCTATTAACCGGTTAGGGAGCCCCTATTAACGGGTTAGGGAGCCCCTATTAACAGGTTAGGGAGCCCCTATTAACGGGTTAGGGAGCCCCTATTAACGGGTTAGGGAGCCCCTATTAACGGGTTAGAGAAAACCCTATTAACGGGTTAGAGAGCCCCTATTAACAGGTTAGGGAGCCCCTATTAACGGGTTAGGGAAAACCCTATTAACGGGTTAGGGAGCCCCTATTAACCGGTTAGGGAGCCCCTATTAACGGGTTAGGGAGCCCCTATTAACGGGTTAGGGAGCCCCTATTAACCGGTTATGGAGCCCCTATTAACGGGTTAGGGAGCCCCTATTAACCGGTTAGAGAGCCCCTATTAACCGGTTAGGGAGCCCCTATTAACGGGTTAGGGAGCCCCTATTAATGGGTTAGGGAGCCCCTATTAACGGGTTAGAGAAAACCCTATTAACGGGTTAGAGAGCCCCTATTAACAGGTTAGGGAGCCCCTATTAACGGGTTAGGGAAAACCCTATTAACGGGTTAGGGAGCCCCTATTAACCGGTTAGGGAACCCCTATTAACGGGTTAGGGAGCCCCTATTAACGGGTTAGGGAGCCCCTATTAACCGGTTATGGAGCCCCTATTAACGGGTTAGGGAGCCCCTATTAACCGGTTAGAGAGCCCCTATTAACAGGTTAGGGAGCCCCTATTAACGGGTTAGGGAGCCCCTATTAACCGGTTAGAGAGCCCCTATTAACGGGTTAGGGAGCCCCTATTAACCGGTTAGGGAGCCCCTATTAACGGGTTATAGAGCCCCTATTAACCGGTTAGGGAGCCCCTATTAACCGGTTATGGAGCCCCTATTAACTGGTTATGGAGCCCCTATTAACGGGTTAGGGAGCCCCTATTAACCGGTTAGGGAGCCCCTATTAACCGGTTATGGAGCCCCTATTAACCGGTTAGGGAGCCCCTATTAACGGGTTAGGGAGCCCCTATTAACCAGTTAGGGAGCCCCTATTAACGGATTAGGGAGCCCCTATTAACCAGTTAGGGAGCCCCTATTAATGGGTTAGGGATCCCCTATTAATAGGTTATGGAGCCCCTATTTACGGGTTAGGGAGCCCCTATTAACCGGTTAGGGAGCCCCTATTAACGGGTTAGGGAGCCCCTATTAACGGGTTATGGAGCCCCTATTAACGGGTTAGAGAGCCCCTATTAACGGGTTATGGAGCGCCTATTAACGGGTTAGGGAGCCCCTATTAACCGGATTAGGGAGCCCCTATTAACCGGTTATGGAGCCCCTATTAACCGGTTATGGAGCCCCTATTAACCAGTTAGAGAGCTCCTATTATTAACCTGCACTGACCAGGGGCACTGCCCTCCGTGACCGATGCCCGCATGGTCCCGGGGCCGAAGTCGGGGGCGTTGTCGTTGTCGTCGTGAACCCTCACGACCATCTCCGCCGCGTTCTCCACCTCGACCCCGTTGATGAGCGCGTGCACGAACATCTGACCCGTGGGGGGGAAGGGGCGGGGTGAGGGGGGTGAGGAGGAAGTGGGGGGGAGGGGGGCAGTGTCAGATTCGTAGCGTAACGCGCTAACCACTGCGCTACCGCTCCCCACACATTGACACACACACGTGGATATTCTAACTAAACTTTTTATTTGTAGATTAAAGCTTTCGTGACTGCAGGGATTCATCTTTTTGGTTCTTTCGGTAAAGTCACGTAGAAGGGAAATAATAAAATAATAAAAATAAAACATAATAAAATAATACAATTCTCACGACGTTTCGGCCACAACGCAAGCAGCCGTCCCCAGGTGAAGAACAGGGCTGTTTTATTTTTATTATTTTATTATTTACCTTCTACGTGACTTTACCGAAAGAACCAAGAAGATAAACTTTTTATTTTACCAGGTAAGGCCCCATTAAACTGCAAAGCTCTTTTTTCCGTAGCGACCTCGACAGTCGACATCACAAGTGATAGCTCGACGAAAGTGTCTCATCACGTGGACATTTAAAGCAGCCGAATGTTGATTATTAAGTGCAGAGTGGAAAACCGGAGGACCCGGAGAAAACTCCACGCGACCACGGGGAAGCGAGAGAGACACGAAAACTCCAAATATACAGCAGCAGGCGTCAGGGTCGGGATCGAGCCCACGACTTCCTGTATATCAGGCGAGGTAGTTAACATCTCCTAGCCACGGTGATGATGAGAGAGAGAGACACGCAAACTCCAAATATACAGCAGCAGGCGTCAGGGTCAGGATTGTACAAAACGACCTCCTGCACACCAGGCGAGGTAGTTGACATACACACACAATCACACACCTTGTATATGGCGATCTCCTCTCTGTCCAGAGCCTGACACACTTGAATGACGCCCTTGTCATTGATGGAGAAACGTCCCATGGGAGGTTCGTCTGCCCCTGGGCCTGTCAACTTGTAGCTCACCGTCCGACCTTTAACCCGGTCTGACTCAAACTTTATCGGTTGGGTTCGGCACGAACAGACAAACACACGCGCACACACGTACACAGGTCAACACATACACATTGGAATGTGCATGCACACAGGTAAACGCACGCATAACAGGCAGACAAAGATCCCCCGTTTAGCTCCGACAGACTTTTTGGGCAAGTGCTGTTTGGGAGTAGCACCACCTACGAAGGCCGGCACTGCACACGAGGGTGTGTTTACTACACACCGCACCAGGTACTCATTTGCGGCTGAGTCTACCTAGGGGAGGTCCAAGACCGGTTTCAGATGATCGTCACTGGCGTTGGCCCGTGAGCGGGAATGGAACTCGGGTCGCCAGGTTCGTAGCGCTAACCGCTGCACCACCGCTCCCCACAACACCGCCAACAACAACCACAATCGCCATTCGCCACTAAGTAGCGGCGACGTCACCACGGCGCCTGTGCCAGGCTAGGTGCACATTAAGGCCACGTGAAGTGTCGAACGCCCGCTACCAGGAGGTCACGGGACAGACCAGCAGGTGCCATGGGTTGACTGACTGAGATGACTTGCAGATGTATCAGCTGTGCCCCCTAGTGTGCCAACTTGCTGTGTTTTAACCGCCCCGTGCTCCGCTCGTTGTTGTGAGCGTCGCTCCTCCGACCTGCGTTGTTGCTGGAGGGCGACTGCCTCCAACTTGCTCAGCAGCGTCCTTCACGAGCCTCCTCCACAGAGGCCGATCTTGACACCGCTGGTACCAGTCATCAGCAAGTCCACTCAGCTCCACGTCCTCCTGTACCACATCACTCCATCTCTTCTCTAGCCCGTGCCGCGCCCGTTTGGCCCCCTCTATCCGGCCGAACAAAAGCTGTTTAGGCATGCGGTGGCTGGGCATGCGGGCTACATGACCCAGCCAACGCAGCCTTGCCTGCCGGAGGAGCTCACCCATGGGGCTTTGTCAGAACCTTCAAGGATTTGTGAGCTCCTCACACAATCCAGCCTGGTTAAACCCAGGATAGATTGCAGGCAGGCCAGCCTCAATGTTTCTAACCGGCGTAGATGTTCATTACGGGGGGGGGGGGGGAGTGACACACCACCGCCACCTACAAAGATCACCCATATAACCTTAACAGACTGTAGGGGCAAGTGCTGTTAGCGAGCACCTATAAAGGCCGGAACGGTTACACGAGGGGGTGGGTGGCCAGCACCACGCCCGACCGCCTTTATCTCCCTAGTGGCAATGTTTACACACCGCACCAGGTACTCATTTGAGGCTGAGTCGACCCACCTACACCCACACGCACACTGACTGCCAGTCACCTCACACGCACACACACGCACACACACCCACACACGCACACACACACAACGACACCTACCGTTGTGACGTACGCGGGGAAGGGACCAGGTTCGTTTTCAACAACGAACGGAGACGGCGCCTTCCAGCCTCTGCGATGCCTCTCACCTGACGCCACCAGCTGCACTCACACAGACAAAGGTCCCCCCGCACGTAGTCGCCTCTAAAGATGCGCCACCGCTCCAAAAATACAAAGGTTCACCGGGTAGCCTTCAATGGCTGTTGGGGCAAGTGCTGTTGGCGAGTAGCACCTATGAAGGCTGGCACGGCGCACGAGGGAATGGGTGACCATCACCACGCCCGGCCGCCTTTGTCTCCCCCGTGCTGATGTTTACACGCCGCATCGGATACGCAGCTAAGGCTCAGTCAACCAGGATATTCGTCACCTAATGTTGGCCGCGAGCGGGAATCGAACCGAGGTCGTGCCGAGTTTGTCGCGCAGCGCGCCAACCGCTGCGCCACCGCTCCCCGCACAGGCACGCAGTGATGACCCTAAGCTCAGAGTCCTCTTGTCACTCTGTTAGCGCTGCTGCTTGCAGTCATTGCGCCCACAGAACTCGAGACGTGACGCCGTTGCCTCAAGACGTGCACACGCGCACGCACGCGCACACGTGGGTTTAGAGAAATTCAAGTTTAGTTCCGAGTTGGCTTTTGTCGAACCAGCTGAGAACTCTTAGAGTTCCCGATGAGTCCGAGGGCCGGTTGAGAGCCCCTAAGTCTTTTGCATCACCACCGTGACCGAAAGGGCCTCTCAACCCTAATCCCAATGATTAATATGTCACGCGCGGATGCACGGCCACAATTGGGTATGGCAGCTTGGTTGTGCTCAGTCCACCTCGTGGCGATGATACCACCACCACCACCACCACCTGGCCATACCACCACTTCACGCTCACGCCGTACATCACCAACAGCAGCAACAACAACAACAGCCGCGATTCGCTTTGTGCGAGGCCAGGTGAAGTATGCGTGTACTTGAACTTCTTTCGCACTAGCCGTGCTAACAGGAGGCCACGGGACAGACCCAGGTGCCGTGAGTTGACTGACTGAGATGACTGGCAGATGCATCACACACACACACACCCAACACACACCCAACACACACACACACCATAAAACACCACACACACACCCAACACACACACACCATAAAACACCACACACACACCCAACACACACACACACCCAACACACACACCATAAAAACCACACACACACACACACACACACACACACACCATAAAAACCACACACACACCCAACACACACAACACACACAACACACACACCCAACACACACCACCACCACGTCACTGCATTTAACGCGAGCGTAGCTCATTAAATCCTTGTGACTGCAGGGGGTGGGCGACTACCAGCCCACGCCCCCCAATAAACCCGGTATGAGACCCCCCCACGATTACACAACGAGGGGGTGGGCAAGCCTCAGCCCGCCTGGACACACGGGGGGGGGGGGGGGGGCGAGTCCCTGAGACCCAAATCGCCGAGCACGTGGGCGCCCAATGACAGGGGGCTGTTCGCCACCGATTTCGTGAGGGTCGCGGTTCGCATCCACCGTGGGGGCGGGGCCGCCCCGGTTAATACCACCGCTCAGACCGTTGCGGGTTTGGCCATTGTTTTGGCCGGGTGGAGTCGCGGTGAACAGTTTAAAGGAATCCATAATAGAGGTGTTTTTTTGGGGTTAGATCGCGTAAATATATAAACGTGTCGTTAAACCCGCCACCACCCGACACAGCCAACTAGTGAGGGTTGTCACGTAAACAGAACGTGTCCAATTCGTCACTAGTCCAGCACTATCTTCTTGGTTCTTTCGGTAAAGTCACGTCGAAGGGAAATAATAAAAGAATAAATATAAAACATAATAAAATACAATTCTCATGACGTTTCGGCCACAACGCAAGCAGCCGTCCTCAGGCGAAGAACAGGGCTGTCGGAAAGACTTCAGACGCTGTCTTTACAACAGCCCTGTTCTTCACATGAGGACGGCTACTTGCGTTGTGGCCGAAACGTCGTGAGAATTGTATTTTATTATGTTTTATATTTATTCTTTTATTATTTCCCTTCTACGTGACTGCGGTCACGAAAGCTTTAAATCGAAATTATTCCAGCACTACACCGGTTGTGTGTTGGAGAGCCAAGCCACAACATTTACAATCCGAGTACGACGTTTCGCCTGTAATTACAACCAGCTTCATCAGGCGGCAGCCAGATTTGTGTAGAAGTCCACCTGTTACGTTCGTTAAATAGAGGCGTCGTAGATGTGATGACAACATTTGGCTAATGAATCAACGCACATTATGCGAGCCCATTGATCTTGAGAAAAGGGGTTTCCACTTTCATCTGGCAACAAAACAGGTGTTCGGTTGTTTAAACACCAAACTGAAACCTTTTACAAGGAATCATGTCTGCATTAACCACAATGCTTGTGGTTAAAATGAAAACAAAAAAAACGTACTCTGATAATAAATGCATTGTCTTTGAAACTGATTGGTCATAACCAGAGACAGCTTTCTTTTGAGCCTCGTCTCAAACGGTGTTAAAGACCTTTGGACGCCAAAAGGTGATCTTGTTTAAAGAAAATCTGTCCGCGCGTCGTCGTTGTCGCAGTAGTAGCAGTAGTAGCAGGGGAGGATGAGGCTTTCGCGACCGATTTCATCCGTTATAAAGCGCAATGACGAATGTGTCGTTGGACCTGTCACCACCCGACACAGCCGGCTAGTAATGTCTGTCACGCAAACGAAAACGTGTCGATCGGTGACTGCTTCGACGCAGGTACTGCTGCTGCTACTGTGAAAATTCCGTCACAGTTCCTATGATCACTGCTGTTTCATTGCTTTCGTGGCTTTATTTTGGTGATTTCGAAAAGTGTATTGGTTTAGCCATGTTTGTTTGTTGTAGCACATAGTTAGACTGATGGCCTTAATCTAAGTTGTCTTGTGGTTGTTTTTGGTTGTTTGACTTGCATCCCACTGGGATTTTTGCACAAAGCGTTGGTGTACGGTGTTTTTTTCTGCAATATTTTACTGTCTTTTCTTGTATTTTCTGTTTGCACTCAGTCACATATTCACTTTAAGATGTTTTTTTGTTCATGTTTTTGTTTGTTGTTTGTTGCGGTTGCACCCGATTCAAGAGCCGAATGGCTCACAGGGCTATACCTAATAAATGAACTTGAACTAATTGCGAACCCGAGCTAAAATTATCGCGACTACATCTGCCGGTGTTCTGACCGCACAGTGAATCGCCAAGACCTTTTCCCGAGAGGAGGACGAGGTGGGGGTGGGTGGACGAGGTAGGATGGGTGGTGGTGGTGGCGGCGGTCTCTACAATAACGGACGCACATTCCCTTGCGCTCGACAGCAGCGCCGCGGGCAAAAACGCTCGGTCACAAGACGGCGGCTCGCTCCACACCCCACCGTTTGTTCAGCCCCAAGGCCTCCCGTCATAATCTCCTGTCCACCAACCTCCCCCCATTTGGCACACCCCTCCCCCCACTCCCCGACATTTCTCCCACCTGGTAACCCACCACCCCTTCCCTCCAACCCCCCAAGGTCATTCTTCACGAGTGACCAACAAAACTGTTGCGGTGGCTAAGAGATGTTAACTACCTCGCCTGGTATGCAGGAGGTCGTGGGTTCGGTCCCGACCCTGACACCTGCCGCTGTGTATTTGGAGTTTGCGTGTCTCTCTCTCATCATCATCATCACGGTGGCTAGGAGATGTTAACTACCTCGCCTGGTATGCAGGAGGTCGTGGGTTCGGTCCCGACCCTGACACCTGCCGCTGTGTATTTGGAGTTTGCGTGTCTCTCTCTCATCATCATCATCATCACGGTGGCTAGGAGATGTTAACTACCTCGCCTGGTATACAGGAGGTCGTGGGTTCGGTCCCGACCCTGACACCTGCCGCTGTATATTTGGCGTTTGCGTGTCTCTCTCTCTCATCATCACGGTGGCTAGGAGATGTTAACTACCTCGCCTGGTGTACAGGATGTCGTGGGTTCGGTCCCGACCCTGAAGACGCCTGCTACTGTATATTTGGAGTTTGCGTGTCTCTCTCTCTCATCATCATCATCACGGTGGCTAGGAGATGTTAACTACCTCGCCTGGAATACAGGAGGACGTGGGTTCGGTCCCGACCCTGACGCCTGCTACTGTATATTTGGAGTTTGCGTGTCTCTCTTTCTCATCATCATCATCACGATGGCTAGGAGATGTTAACTACCTCGCCTGGAATACAGGAGGTCGTGGGTTTTATCCCGACTCTGACTGACGCCTGCTGCTGTATATTTAGAGTTTCTCTCTCTCTCTTATCCCCTCCCTTCCCCCGTGGTCTTGTGGATTTTTTTCTAGAGTTCCTCCAAATTTTCCCTCCAACGTGCGTTTAGACCAGTCTAGAGCAGTGGTTCTTATATAATCCGGTGGCTCTTATATAAACCAGTGGTTCTTCTTAACCTGGGGTGAACGCATCTCCCTGGGGGTGTCAGATGCCCTTTGTGGGGGTTGTGCGAGACGGGGCCCGATGATTTATGTTGTTTTTAGAAGGTAAATCATCAACATGACAAATTAAGCACGGGCACCTTCATCAAACCCTGTGTGTTTATTAGCAGTGTAAAAGTAGATCTATAATTAGAATTGAGAACCATAGGGGTGCACGGCTGCTGTAAAGGTTAAAAACACCACTGGTATAGCGTAGTAGTGTAGCGTAGTAGTGTATAGCGTAGTTTAATGTATAGTGTAATAGTGTATAGCTTAGTGCATAGTGTAGTGTATAGTGTAGTGTCTAGTAGTGTAGTGTTGTAGTGTAGTGTATAGTGTAGTGTATAGCGTAGTAGTGTACAGTGTAGTAGTGTATAGTGTAGTGGTGTATAACGTAGTGTAATTTATATTGTAATAGTGTATAGCATAGTGCATAGTGCAGTGTATAGTAGTGTAGTAGTGTATAGCGTAGTAGTGTATAGTGTAGTAGTGTATAACGTAGTGTAATGTATCGTGTAATAGTGTATAGCATAGTGCATAGTGTAGTGTATAGTGTAGTGTCTAGTAGTGTAGTGTTGTAGTGTAGTGTATAGCGTAGTAGTGTATAGCGTAGTAGTGTATAGTGTAG